CCCCCCGGCCGGTCCTGGGCCCCGGGCGCCGGCGCCGCCGCCTCGGGCTTGTGCGCCTCCTGCTCCGAGTCGTCGTCGGTGCTGCTGCCCAGCCCCCGAGCCTCCCGCCGCTTCTTCCGCTTGCGGTTGACGGCCGAGATGAAGGAGATCGCCAGCATCTCCCGGGCGTACGGCTCCTTCTTGGGGGCCCACGAGCTCTGTGCGGGAGACAGGTCAGTATGCAGTAGGTGCCCAGACGTGCGCCAGCGCCGCCCTCTCTCCCATCCCCAGGCCAGAGGGCCTCAGCGCCCTCCACGTTCCCACCCGGACACACCCCACACCGTAGCACCCGATCTCAACAGGTCCAAGCCAAGCTCAGCACCCCACCGGCATCATAAACAGTTCCTCCTGGACCACTGTCCTAGCTGGAGTGTCACTCTCCACTCTGGAGACTCCCCCTGCGGCCGCTTCCCAATCCTGAGGACTCCTCTGCGCCCCTCTGGTCTTAATCCAGACTCTCAGCTCTTTCCTGTGAGCTGGGGGCTGGTCTCTCACCTCCCCCACCCCAACTTCCATTCCGTTCTCTATATCCAGCGCTAGGTAACTCCTTTAGACAGCTCTGGTAATCATAGTCTCTCAACAGTGAAAAACATTTTTGACAGTTTGAACCCACTTCACATATACCATCTGAGGCTGTAATCACCAGAGCCTGGCAGGGACCTTTCTCCGACTACAGCTCCTGCCCCCCTCCCTCTCCACTCACTCCCACCTGGAAACCTGCGTTTCCACCTACTCAGTATGTACAGGCCTGTCCAGGGCAACCTGCCCAAGTTCACTGCCCTTTCCCACCACCCATCAGGCGTTTCAGCCATTCCCCCAGCACCACACCTGACAACCCCCAACCCCAGATCAATCCAACTGCCAGCTCTGCTGCCAAAAGTGGCTCAAGAATCCTGTACAATCCAATGGTTTGGACTGAAGCTGCTCCCAAATTGTGATTTCCAACCCCAAGCTGGGCAACGTCCTGCTGCTGTTCTCACTGCTAAGCCCCGTGGAGGCGATTTGGCCCTGGCCTTCCACCATCTCCCAGCAGAGCCCACACCGCCCATCACTGCCTCCTCCAACCTGGTTTTTAGTCCTCCCTTTCTGGCCTCTCCTCTGCCTCCTGGGGAGCTCTTCTTCCCCGTCTTACTCCTTAAGAAGCCATGTTCCCAGAGCTCTGTTCTCAGCCCCTCTCTCTTCTTTCTGCTCATGTTCCCCAGGAAATACCATTCCCGAACATCCCCGTCCCGACACCTCCCCGTCCAACACCCAACTCTCTATCTCATGAGCTCCGGAACTCCTCTTCCAACTGCAAATCCGTCTCTACCAGGGTGTCTCAGGGACCTGAAACCTACCCATCTGGAACCACATTCTGCTCCCTACCCCTGCCCCAAACCACCTCCATTCATGTTCCCACTTTAAGGTGAGTCTCTGACCCCTCCCTCTCCTCTCCTCTCCATTCTCCTCCTGAAACGACTCCCAAAGCTGGCTCATCCTCATCATCCTCCCTTCAGGCCCTCACTCTGCCTTTTCTGGGCCTTTCTGCCCTCTCCTAACAGGACTCCCTGCCTCCACTCTTGCCTCACCCTGGTCCCCCCTCCTCCTGAGCAATCAGTCCTTCTAAGGCAAGACAGGACTCTGATCACCTCCGGACTCTGCAGGACCCGCCCCCACCAGGATAAAGCACAGACACAGGGCCCTTCACCGACCTGGTCCCACCTCTCCCAGCCTAGATGCCTCCCTGCCTGACCCCAACCCCAACACAGCCTCCACTCGGTGATGCTGACCCACCAACCCTCGACATGACTTGCACTGTAACGTTGGCAGCCCGTGGTCCCCGCTGCCCTGTTTGCTGGATGAGCTCTTAACTCCTCCTGCTGGGCCCAGCTCAGACCTGGCATCCTCTGTGCAGCAGCTTCCCAGCCCTCCCTCGGGCCTAGCTGGAGATCCCTTCCCGGTTCCCATAGCCCTTTGGAAATACATCGACACCAGCTCTGCTGACATCACAGTAGCTTGTTTCCACATCATCTATGTCGGACTCTGAGTTCCTTGAGGGCAAGGTCTGTGCTCCTCTGTGTCTGCATCTGTGACTCCTAGCACAAGCCAGCACATAGCAGGCACTCCGTAAGTGCTAAGTGAACGCACAATGGGTGAATGGATCCCCTCAAATTAGGAAGCCTTGCAGAAGCAGATGCTAGGACGGGTCCCCTGCTGGGCTGGAATGACCTGCCCTTCGACCCCTTCTCAAAGGCCACCTCCTGTTTCCGCCACAGCGTAATAATGACTGGAGTCACAGAGATACCTGTGTGGCCACTGCGTCCTACACACTCTCTCATGTCCGTTAGTTCTGAAAATGCCGAGGCCTGTCAGGGATTCAGGATTCCCAGGCATGTGGCTCCTGGGCCATGGCTGCCCACACTGCGTGACTCCAGAAGGCACCCCCTGGAATCGTGTGACACGGCAGCACTGCCACGACCAACTTGAGGTCCATGGTGGCTGGTACCCCTCTCTTTCCTGGCCAGTACTCTCTGAGAGACTTGAGAGGCCGCTAGGAACATCTGATCCAATTACCCTCTCATCCCGGCTAGTTACAGAAGCAGTGAGGTCACACTGGTCACTCCCAGGGAATGCAGAGGTCAGTAGATTCACATAATGGTCAAAAAACAGGCTACAGAAAACCAGGGGGCTTGCAGGAGCAATGGGTGGACGTGACAAGGAGCTAGATTCAGGTCACTATAATGAACTTGCTCCCTGCCATAGCAGTCTCACGATGGAATGAGCACCCCGTCACGAAAGGTGTGCAGGTAGACGCTCTGTGGAGAGGTTACAGGGGACCTCTGCACCAGACTAGAGCAGCCTTCGTTCTTTCAGCCAGGGCATTCAGCTGACACATACTGAGCCCCTGCGTGGTGTCAGGCATGCTGGGCTCGCTGGGACCTGGCCAGTGCTTAGAGACCCAAACAGAAGTAAGCCCAGTTCCACTGGCCAATGTTTAGCTGATATCACGCACTAGTATGGACAGAATTGTATCTCCCCTCCCAAATTCACATGGTGAAGCCCTACCGCACAATGCGACAGTATTTGGAGATGGGGCCTGTGGGAGGTAATTAGGTTTAGATGAGGTCATGAGGGTGGCATTAGTGCTCTTATAAAAAGAGACACCACAGAGTTTGCTCTCTTGCTCTCTCTCGCTTTCTGCCATCTGAGGACACAGCAAGAAGGCGGCCATCCATCCACAAGCCAGGAAGCGTGCTCTCACCAGAAACTGACCATGCTGACACCTTGATCTTGGGCTTCTAGACTCCAGAACTGTGAGAAAATAAATTTCTGTGGTGTAAGCCCCCCAGTTTATGGTATTTTGTGATGGCAGCCCGAGCGGCCATCAAGCTCTAATCTAACAGTTGGGCAGGGTCCGCCTGGGGCAGGCTTCCTCGCCTAACAGGGTCTGTCTCAGAGGGCGAGCTCCAGAGCAGGCGACTAGCTGGCTGTGGGACCTGGTTCAAGGAACCAGCTTTGGTTTCACTGATTTTCTCAGTTGTTTTGAATTTCATTGATTTCTGTTCTAATATTTATTATTTCCTTCCTTCTGCTTGCTCTGGGCTCTCCAAAGACCTTGAAGAATAGTTATTATATCAGACATATTTGTTATTCACCCCATTTATGGGGCTAAATATTATCATCATTTACAGATGAAGCAGCTGAGGATCAGAAAGAGGCTACAGAGGCCAACCCAGGGGCGTAGTGGTTAAGTTCGGCATGCTCCGCTTTGGCAGCCTGGGTTTGGTTCCCGGGCACGGACCTACATCACTCGTCAGCCATGCTGTGGCAGTGACCCACATGCAAAATAGAGGAAGACTGGCCACAGATGTTAGCTCAGGGCGAATCTTCCTCAGCAAAAAAAAAAGAAAAGAAAAGAAAAGAAAGAAAGAAAGAAGCTGCCTAACTTGCCCAGTGTCCCAAAGCTACTAAGTGGTGGAGCCAGGACTCAGATCCAGGTCTCTGCTTTTAACCACTGGACAACACTGCCTCCCAGCCACCTAACTCCCAGGCCAGATCCTTCTACTACACAAGATGCCTCACCAAGCACTGCTAAGGTGAGCGACTTCTCAGCTTCCCTTGGACACTCAGTATTTCCCACCTTCCTTCCCGGTGACCATCAACTTTCCTCAGGCTCCAGTCACATTCTCCCAATTCCCTTGACCAAAAAGCAAAGTGGGCTGGCTTGCCTCGGGATAAAGCCTTCAGAATTGCCTTGGCACTTACCTTGGACTTGGCTGAACTACAGGTGGTAGAATCTGTTGGTGAGAGACAGAAAGAAAAATGAAAGTTGGATCAGGGCAAGAGAAGGCTGAGTCTTGTGAACACAATTCCCTCTCCTCAAAGGCTTCAGAAACATGAGATCTCCCCAGGCCCTGGGAGTGTGACGGCCTCTGATGTCATTTCCTGGGGGATAGGGATGGAGCAGAGAATGATGTCAATCACCACTTCCTTTTGAGGCAGGAAGTGACATCAGGCTGCCAGCCACTGGACCCTCATTTGCCCAGGGTTAAGGGCAAGGGGGGAGGTTTCTTTGAGCCTAGTTCCTGTCCCCTCTCCTCCTGTCCCTGTTACTCTGAAGCAACGGAGAGACAATGCCAAATATCAGATGCAGTCCACGGAAACCACAACAATGAAACACAGCAAATCACAGATGCTCTGGAGAAATGGAGACCACACAGTGCATAGAGAGGTGGGTGCCCTACATCCACCCTTACCCCCCTACTTCCAGGAAGGAAGTGAGAGAAGGAAGAGGGACCATGGGCATGATCGAGTACAGGGGCAGATGTGAAGTGGGTGGGACACAGGAGGCAGGGAGCGCTGGCGACTGAAGCCTTGGTAGGTTCTACCTCCAGGCGGGAGGTCAGTCTGCCCTTATGGGGCCAGGCCCCTGTTTAGAACCAGAGTTACGAAGGAGAGTAAATTCATTACATCAGTGGGACTTGGGTTCCACTCCCTTAATAGCATGGAGAAGGAACCAGAAATAGGTCCTGGCAGTGTCCTCTCCAGGACTGGGGAGAGGGCAGGCTGATCCAAGGACCCCCCGGGGGCCAGCGGGGAGTGGGCAGGTGTGGTTAATCCACACTCTCTGGCAAGCAAGTTAGACGCCTCCTCCCCAGCCCTCCCCCGCACACAGTGAGCAGAGCAGATGGGCTGACCACACAGCAACACACACGGGGCAGGCAGTGGCAGCAGGTGATTAGAAGAGACCGGGGGGGGGGCTCCTCTCTGCCATCTCCACCCTCCCCCAGCCTGCCTCTTGCAACTAGGGGCGCTGTGGTATGCCTCTGTCAGAGACAGGGGCGGTCAAAATACTAAGGGCGGGTCACCCACAGGGTGGGAGGAGTTCGTGGCTTGAGCCAAGAAGGGACTGGCCATTCCTTTGATTCTGGGCTACTCTGCTATGAGAGGGCCAGAGGCCAGGAAACAAGACTCAGGGGCTGAGTCACCAGGGGCTCTGGTTTTGGAAGCAGTAAGAGCCAGCCCTCGGAGGCAACTGAGGCAGGAGCTGTAGATATAGAGACGCTTCTGGAGGTGGTGTCTGGAGAGGCTGGGTCCCCTACCAGCCAAGCCTCCCCCAGCCCAGATAACCAGAAGTGGCCAGGCTCGGCATGGAGCGAGGCCGCAGAGTGTGGGGGACTGCGGGAGGGCAGCCATGTCGTGCCCAAACTTCCTGGCAGGGGGCAGGGTCTGGATCCAGCCAGTGCCTGCTTCCTCCTGAGAAGGGCTTTCGGAGGGGAGGGGCTGGGGTGGGCATGAGTAGCTAGTATGTCAGGGTGAGGTCCTCACAGCCCAGGACGTCTCTGCCGGCCCCTCGTGCCTGCCCAGCCTTCTTATAATCACCCGCCACTGTTAGTGACCGAGGCCGCGATGCCACACTGTACCCTTTAAATCTCCAACAGGTCCGCTGGAGGAGTGGGGGGGAGGAGAAGAGAAGGGGCAGATCCAGGGCACGGGAGGAGAGCACAGGGAGAAGAGGGAAGAGGGGTGGAGGGGTGCAAGGAGAAAAGGAAGAAAAATTAAAAAGAGGAACATGCCCAGAAGGACACAGCCCAGGAGAAATAAAAAGCTCAGGAAGGAAACCAGTGAAGGAGGGTGGACAAAGCTCCTACCCAGCCCGGGGGCGGGGGCAGCCGACCGGACGAGGAGGCGGGCACACAGGCAAGCCAGACCTCCCCAGAGAGGGAGAAGGCCCTGCCACAGCCCAGTCTCCGGGGGGCAGGGAAGGACCCTGCTGGGGCAGAAGCAGGGCCGCTGGGCATCTGGTCAGGCATCCGGGACCCTCAGGAATGCAGCTCCCACCCCCACCCCTTCCCAGGCCCCTGTGCTCACCTGAACCTGGGTCACCAGGGGGCACTGTCCTGCCAATGTTGGGCAGGAGGTACTCAATGTTGGGCACTGACTGAGGCTCCTTGTCATCCACAGGAGTCTGCAAACAGGAGGAGGGTCAGCCAGCATGCCCTCAGATGGCGGGACTGGGGACCCCGCAGGATGGGGGACCCTGAAGACAGGGCCACGTTCCTCCATCAGACTGGGGCTCGCCAGAGCAGGGACTGTCTCCCTCATCAGTCAGGCACTCTCGAGGGCACGTCCTACATGTCCCCCATGAGGCTGTTCTGTGCCTTCCCCAACACCTTGATGGAACCCCGAAGGCCCAAGCTGCTCCCTCAGCTGAGGGCAGGAGCTGTGTCTCCCCCTTCAGACTGGACCTTCCTGAGACCTACATCCTCCACATAACACTGGAAGGTGAGGACTGCCTTTGCTATTAGACTCAGTTTCCTCAGGGCAAGGCCTATATCTATCCCCTCAGACTGGGGGCTCAGGAAGGGGAGGGTCGTGTCTCCCATCAGACTGGAGGAACCTGCTGCCCTCTACACACACACCTGGGATGAGGAGGCCCACCTCAGACCAGACCCCAGCCCACCTGCCCTCTGCATCACTTACCCTCTCTCCCTTGTCCTCGTCGTCACTGAAGAACCAGTCTGACTGCAGAGGGGACAAAAAGGAGAGATGAAATCAGCTGGGAAGGGGCTGAGGGAAGACAGGGAAACACGGGCTCCCAAGCTGCTCCGTCCAGAGCACCCACTCAGGGGCCTGAAGGAGCGCCGGATTGGCAGGAGGGGGCCCCAAAGGCGACGGCCCCCTCCTCTTCTCAACAAACCCCAGGCTGCCCTGGCTGCTCAAGAGGCCTCAGAGGGAGGTTGATGGAGCCTGGAACCTGACTCCACAGACTATGAGAAACCCGTGGGGAGAGAAAAGGGAGGGAAATGCAGCCTAGAGTGGGAGAGGGCTCGAGTATAGATGGATGATGGCTCGGGGACAGCTTCTCCCTTTGCCTGTTTTTCACTAAACACTGTCCAGTGCCCTGGCTGTGGCTCTCTCCCTACTGTCAGCTGTGGGGCGGGGGGCGGGGGGGGGGGCGCAGCGCCATCTAGTGCCAGCTGGGTCCACTGCAGGGAGAAGGCCGGCCCAGTGCCAGCTGAGTGTCCCCCACACCAGCCTGGGCTCCACGCTGACACCTGGGGGTGTCCTGCCCCCTGCCCAGAAAAGGCAACTGCCTGGACGGAGGTGTTAAGAGGCTCCCTGAGGGGCAGGCAGGCAGGCAGGCAAGGGTTTTCTCATAAATGCCAAACAGGCTAGAAAATAAAGTAAAAATCCTACTCAAATATATTTTATGAAATTTAAGAATCCTGAAGATAAAACTCTAATAAACATTTTATGAAAAACAAACCAGATTGCTTGCAAATGAACAAGTATCACTTGTAACTAGAACTTTCAGCAGCAACAGACACAAGAAGACAAGGAAGTAATATTTTCAACGTGCTGCTGGACTACAAATGTAAGAATTTTGAATCTAGACTTTTCTACCCTGCTAAACTCTCATTTAAATTTGAGTGTGATATAAAGTTGTTCTAAGACATCAGGAAGTTTACTACACAAAAACTCTCTTGACTGAGTACATGAGCAAGTAAAGAAATGAATCCAGGGTGGGGCGACAAGCTCTGAGATGGATGGATAACAGCGTAGAAAGATCCATTGTTATCAAACCAAGCAGTGACACACACACACATATGAAACACACAGAGCATATCCATGACAATCTGGAATTCAAATGCGGAGGGAGAAACCAGTGACAAGTGAAAGTACACTAAGGTCCTTGGCTTTCAGATGTGCTGGAAGGAAGACATGGATACTGATAAGCTTTAGAAATTGACAGTGAAAATTAAACAGGAGTATGGGCTTTTATAGTTGTATAATTAAATATAAGTATGGATTTTATAAATTGTACAAATTTTCATATCAGGAAAATAAAAATCAACCCATCCAAAGCAAGGTGGGCCAGACTGAAAAAAAAAGGAAATAAAATGAAAATGTGGTAAAAAGAAAAATTATATTAAAAAAAGAAAGAAGGGGCCGGCCCTGTGGCTTGGTGGTTAAGTGCGCGCGCTGCGATGCTGGTGGCCCGGGTTCGGATCCCGGGTGCGCATCAAGGCACCACTTCTCCGTTCATCCTGAGGCCGAGTCCCGCATACAGCAACTAGAGGGATGTGCAGCTACGACATACAACTATCCACTGGGGCTTTGGGGGGGAAAAGAAAATAAAATAAATAAAATCTTTAAAAAAAAATAAATAAATAAAAAAATAAAATAAATAAATAAAAAAAGAAAGAAAATGACATTTAAGATGGCAGAAATAAGTCCTAACAGTACAGAGATTACAATAAGGTAAATGAGCTAAGCTCACCGATTGAAAGAACACACAGAACATCATATACATTTAAGGGTATCCATACATTTAAAATAAGCATAGAGAAGGTGGGCTGGAAGGACACGTATTAACCTCCTAGAGTGGGTCCTTATGGAGGAGGCGGAGTGGGGTCAGCAATGAAGGGGGACTCGCAAGGTCGATTATGACCATGTGCCATGAACCTCAGTTATTATCAATCACAATCAGGCACATATTAACTCAAATAAGTGGCACAAAGAGAAACAAGAAAGAGACAGAAGAGAAAAGAGTAAGAGAGGAGAAGAAAGAAATGCAAGATCTAGAGTCAGTCGTCTCGGGCTCAAGTTCTCCTCAGGCAAATTACCTCTCTGAGTCCTTACTTGTCTGTAAAATGGGCATAATATAAGCATCTACTTCTACAATTGTGGTGAGGATTAAAATGAAATACTGTATGGCTATTATCAAAAAGACAAGAAATAAATTTTGGCGAGGATGTGGAGAAAAGGGACCCTGTGCGCTGTTGGTACGAATGTAAATTGGTGCAGCCATTTTGGAGGTTCCTCAAAAAATTAAAACTAGAACTACCATATGATCCAGCAATTCCACTTCTGGGTATTTATCTGAAGAAAACACTAACTCAAAAAATATCTGCACCCCCACGTTCACTGCAGCATTATTTACAATAGTCAAGACATGGAAGCAAACTAAGTGTCCATTGATAGACAAACAGATAAAGAAAATGTGGTGTATATATACAATGGAATATTATTCAGCCATAAAAAATGAAATCTTGCCATTTGTGACCACATGGATGGAGCTGGAGGGCATTATGCTAAGTGCAATAACTCAGACAGAGAAAGACAAACACCATATGATCTCATTTCTATGTGGCATTTAAAAAAAAAAGAAAAAGAAATCCCAAGCTCATAGATACACAGAACAGATTGGTGGTTGCCAGTGGCAGGGGATGTGGGATGGGTGAAATGGGTGAAGGGGGTCAAAATGTATAAACTTCCAGTTATAAAATAAATAAGTCCTGGGGATGGAACATACAGCATGGCGAATCTAGTTAATAATACTGCACTGCATATTTGAAAGTTGCTAGGAGAGTAAATCTTGAAAGTTCTCATCACAAGAAAAAAAACATTTGTATCCATGTATGGTGATGGATGTTAACTAGACTTATTGTGGTGATCATTTCACAATATATACAAATATTGAATCATGTTGTGCACCTGAAACTAATATGATATTATATGTCAATTATATCTCAATTAAAAGAAATACTGTACTTAAAACATTTAGTACAACACATTGTTGGTGCATAATAAATGTTAGCTATTATTAAAAGGTGTGGTCCCCAGAGACAGGCTAATCAGAGGGAACCCTAAGAAGCCAGCCTTTAACTCGGGTTTGAGGGTACATAAAAGTGCTCTGGGAACCTGGAAGTCTACAGGAAGCTTCCGAGTGGTGCATGGTTCTCTGGAAGGATTCGTGCCAGCTCATGCCACCCTGCTTTTGCACATGCTGTGCCCTCTGCCCGGAATGCTCTTTCTCCCTTCTCTGCCTGGCTAAATTCCTTGTGGTCTTTTAAGACAATTCAAGAACTCCCTGACCGCCATCCCAGCCCTGCCCTAAGGGCTGAGGGGGTCCTTCTGAGGGGCTTCCCTGGGCCTAGCCCAGAGCCTGAAGAAGTGATGTCTTCACTGGGCAGTGCTCCTTCAGAGCAGGGCCTGAGTTCCATTCATCTCTGTGTCCCCAGCACTTGCCTCTGTCTCTGGCATGGAATAATGCCATGGGGAGGATGGGGAGGAGGATGATGATGGGAGCTAAGGCTCGTGTAACAATTACTAACTGCCAGCCACCATTAAGTGCTTTATAGCTATTAACTCCCGTAACCTCCACAATAACCCTGTGAGGTAAGTATATTCTTATCTCCACTTTACAGATGAGGAAACTGAGGCACCGAGAGGGTAAGTAACTTGTCCAAGGCCACACAGCACACAACGAGCAGAGCGAGGATTCAACCTCAGGCCGGCTGGCTCCAGAGCCAGTGCTCTCAACCACTACACGGGTGGTTCTCAACGGGGCGACTGTGCCCCTCCTAGGGGGGCATTTGCAATGTCTGGAGACATTTTCCATGGTCACAACTGGAGGGATGCTCCTGGCATCTAGCCAGAGATGCTGCTAAACACCCCACACTACACAGGACGGCCCCCCACAAAGAACTATCTGGCCCCACAGGTCACTCGTGCAGAGGTGGAGAGATCCCAGTGTCCACACAGCAGGGATGGCCATCTTTGCTGAGTGAATACATGGACAAATGCCTGACGTGGTCTTGGTTTGGGTTCCGACTGACTTGGTAAACACGGGTGTGAGCTGGCTGGTGAGCTGCTGCCGGGAGGCTGTATATATACAATGAGCCCGGGTTTGCTCATCCCCACTCTGCCGTCACGTTGCTGAGGGACCCTGGGGTAGTCACTGTTCCTCTTCACAGCTCAGTTTCCACCCTCTGTATGACGGGGGACAGATCTGGCTGCCTTCAGGCCCCTTGCAGCTCTGCTGTCCACAGATGATGGAGCCCCCGGGAGGGAGGCAGGTGACGGCTGTGTCCGGAACTCCCAACAGGAGTCGTGTCACCCGCTAACTCCAACCATCCACGGACGAGCCAGGGGCTCAGAGCCAGAGCCAGAGCAGCCTCTGCCACAGGTCGGGTCCTGCCTGGGCTCGTGACTACACGGCTCCCTGGCTAAAGAGCCTTCGGGCTGGACAGAGCCCAGCAGACTGGGGTGGGGGGGCTCAAGGGGCCTGCAGGGGGTGGCCCATTCCCTTGACAGCGGTCCGGGGCTGATGGTCAAGTGCCAGGAGGCAGAGAATGGAGGGGCACCAGCTCGGCTTCTTGCCAGGAATGAATCCCTGAGTGGGAGAGCCCAGATGGGTATAACCTCAATAGCAATTCATTCATTTGTTCATTCATTCAACAAACACTGAGAGTTCACTATATGCCAGGCCCTAGGCTGGGTGCTGGGAGTAAACCTCTGAAGGACACAGATATGCTCCACCAGCCCCCACCCTTCCCAGATGAGGGGCTGCTACTGGCTGGGGACTCCCCTTCAGGGCCCTGGGGGAGGGTAAGTGGACACACTTTGGGCCTCCCTTTTCCCTGAAGGCTGCTGTTCTGGATGCCCCAGCTGACCACAGGCCTCGGGCTTCCAGGGGCTTTTCCAGGAGCTATGGGGCCAGTGTCCCTCCCTTTCCCACTGCCCCCACCAAAGCACACACTCCTGGGGGTTCCAGGGGCTCCTGTTCAGTTGGGGAGCTGAACTTATCCCAGGGAGATAAGCATCCCCAGACCAAGGCCTCATCAGGATCCCTGACGCTGCCCGGCAGCCCTGGCCTCCCTGACAGCTCTGGAGGGGGGTCTCCAGGCTCTTCTTATCTCCACTTTACAGATGAGGAAACTGAGGCACAGAGAGGGTAAGTAGCTTGTCTAAGGCTACGCAGCACACAAGGAGCAGAGCAAGGCTGGCTGGCTGAGTGGTGGTCCCAGTGTTAGAAGGAGAACAGGCCTCGATGCTCCCTCCTGTGGCTCAGGGCCCTGACCACGCAGTGAGGGCAGGAAACGAGCAGACAAGGCCCGTCAGCATGACCAACGTCTACCCCATCCCTCCCTTCACTGACCCTGGCCAGCCTCCCTCACTCCGAGCCAGCTCTGGGACAGACCCAGGCATCTGCCCTCCCAGTAGGTGGGGAGGGAAGCACAGGCTTTGGTCAGACAGATTTGGCTTAAAACCCTGGGGCTGCATTTATTAGCTGTGTGACCTTGAGCAAGTCGCTTTGCCTCTCTGAGCCCGTTTCCTCGTCTGTAAAATGGGAGTAACCTGAGCTGGTTTCCCTTCCCTAAAGCGTCTATGAGGTGGGGGAGGCTGAGGCTCCCCTTCCCCTGACCAGCTGACAATCTTATTTCTCGCAGGAGGGGTCTGGTTCTGTCCTTTGTGGGCCAGACACAGGCCATACTAAAATTTAGAAATAGAATATCTATGATTTATAAAAACACCACTGAGCACCCCACAAGGGGGTGGTGCTGCCCTGGTTTGGCTCAGGACGGCCAAGGCCTCCTGCGCCCTCTGCTGGCCGCTCCATGTTCTCATCCCGTCATGGACAAGAATCCTTAGAAACAGGGCTCTTGGTGCCTCCAGGCAGCCATGAGAAGGGAAGGGACCAGCCCAAGACACACGGAGCCCAAGGGCAGGATCCTGCCTCAGTCCGTGCTGTGTCCTGTCCCCTCCCCCTCCCCCGGGAATCACCGTTTCCTCCCTGAAGCCTCAGTTGGGCCAGCAGGGCAGAGTTTCGACCCCACCCCACACCTGTCTACCCAGTTCTGCCAGGAAACTCTCCTGGGGGCCACCTTCTGATGATGCCCCTGCATTCACCCCTCTGCTCTCCAACCCAGCAGCGCCTTCCCTGACCCTCCTCCGCCCTCTGACCCTCACATGTATCTTGGAAGCTCAGGGGCCTCCTTATTCTCCTGGGGGGATGTGACATCCCAGAACCACAGGGATGTCTGGATCCGTCCCTGTTTGGCCTTGAAATGCAGCCTATCACTTCTGAAGGGCATTCAGCATTTTCGGAAGCTGCCTCATCCTTCCCTGAGCACGCCCACCCAGGCAAACAGGAGTGAAGTGCCCAGGGGACATGGCCCTGGCCTGAGGCGGCTGCTTACGTGCTGGATCAGTGTCTCCACGATCTTGTAGCGGTCGGGCATGTGGGTCACCATGTCCGCCATGTTGTCCTCGGATGTCCTCACCAGCGTTGGCCCGAAGACCAGGGCCAGGTTCCGGGGCTCCATCTGGGCAGGGGAGGGGAGCAGGTCAGTGACAACATCTGTGGGCTCTGACTCCAGTCCCCAGGCCTCCCTCACTCTGGGCCCCTCAGGCCCCCGTCCCAACCACATCCTGATCTGTCCCTGGCTTAGGGGCTGGACACCCCCTTGTATGGGCATGGAGCTGCCTGGTAAGGAGAGCACAGGACAGACTTCAGCCCCACTCACCCCTAGGCCCGGCAGCCATGGCAGTGCCCAACCTGCACACCTATACTGTGCCAGCAGTGGGAGATCCCAGAGTGGGGACCCACTGGAGGTTCCGAGGGTATATTAGGACTGGGAGAAATCCTATAGCTCCCCTCATTTTCCCTGCTGCAGAACAAGAAGATACAGAGGTTTGATTAGGAAAATGCAATGCAAGGGATTCGAGCTGGATCACAGGATAGGTTTCCATTAGACGCAGGGGGACTGTGGCTCTCTGCCTCTGGAAGACCCTCAGAAACTCAGGAGCTGGCTCTCTGGGGGAGAAGCACTGGCTGGCATGTAGGGGTGGGGTGGGGACAGAATGACCTTTAAGAAGGAGGGCACACCTAGAGGGGCTTGAGATTATCTGACCTGGAGGATCTTAGTATTCTGAGGAGACCCTGGTCTGCTTCCCTCCCCCACGCTCCAGGCCGGAGTCCCCACCCACCTTGTTTTTCTCCGAGTGGTCGGCAATGGTCTTCAGATGGCCCACGAGGAATTTGAGTGTTTCATAGTAGTGTCCTGGGAGATCCCGGATCTGGCGGGAGAGAGAAGGGGCACAGGATCAGGCTGTGACAGCCTCTCCCACTCCCCTCCAAGCCCTACGGGGGCTCCCACTGCCATATCTCAGAGGGTCTGGAATCTACCCTCTAACCATCCCCCTTGCGTAGATGGAGAAACTGAGGCCCAGAGTGGACTTCTCCAAGGTCACAGGGAATTGGTGGCCCTGGACCCCAGGCTTCTGGGACAGTGGTCTCTCCAGTCTGGTCTACCTTTGGCCCAACAGCGTCTCTCCCTCCTTACCAGCTTCCGCAGCGTCTTCAACCGCTCCCTCGAGTCTTCAATGCGATTGGCCTCGATGAAGTCATTGTATTTGTCTAGAACACAGTGAAGACAACTTAGAGAGGCGGGAGGTAGCCCCTTCTCCCACAATCAGGGTGAGCTGACTCCGGGCTGAAGGCCCTGGCTGGCTGAAGGGGCCCTGCTGGGAGATCAGTGGTTTGTACCCAAGCTGTTCCAGTTTTGGGGGGCTCCATGGCCTTGTGTTCATGTGACCAAACCCACCACACCAGCACTCAAGTGTGTACCTGACCTGGGGTAGCCCAGGTGTGTGCATCTGGGAAGAAATAAGACCTAAGCTGCATGTTAATACTGGAAAAGGGATCCGTGCCCCAGTCTCCAGGACAAGGACACCACAAGGTCAGAAGAGACGGTTATCTAGAAAGAGGGAGGGGCCTTTCATCCCCCAGACACCTCTTCCCAATTGCCAGGATTCCCCCAACTCCCTTCAGGAAAAGTCCACTGGGAACCTTAAAAAATGGAACATAATATGGGCTGGCCCGGTGGCATAGTGGTTAAGTCTGGCATGCTCCACTTTGGTGGCCTGGGTTCCTGGGTTCGGATCCCAGGCACAGACCTACACACTGCTCATCAAGCCTTGCTGTGGCAGTGACCCACATATAAAATAGAGGAAGACTGGCACAGATGTTAGTTCAGGGTCAGTATTCCTCACCAATAAAAAAAAAAAAAGGAATGTGATATGTTTACTCTAAAATTTATCTGGATGAGTAAATGCACAAAGATAGCCAAGATTACTTTTTAAAGGAAGAATGGTGAGGGAGGATTTGCCCTACCAGATACAGCTAAGGCAGCACGGAACTGGTAGAGAAGCTAGATCGAGGATAAGGCAGAAAGGAGAGAAACAGGCCACCCATGTGGGTCTTTACTAGGTGATATAGGTGGCATTCAAACCAGTGGGGAAGGATGCAGGCAGCAATAAATGTCCCTGGACAATTAGCCGTCTTGTTGGGAAAAAAAAATCCATTTCTAACTCACATAGTATACAAACAAATTTAACTGCATTACAGAGCCAAATATAAAAGTTATTAAAATATTGGGGAAAATAAGAAAATACTTTTATAATCATAAGATCTTCCTAAACATGAGATGCAGAATCCATTAAAGATTAGTAGCTTTGACTGCACTTAAAATCATTGTTTTCAATTTCTATACTGAAAAGTTAAAAGGCAAATGGCAGACCAAGAGCAAATATTTGCAAAAAGTAACAAAGGTTAATACCATATTATACAAGAGCTTGTCTCTTACAAATCAATACAAAAAAAGACAAACAACCCAATAGAAAAATGGGCACATAGTCTGAACAGGCAATTACAGAGGGAATAGAAAAGACCAATAAACGAATGAAAAGGTAGTTAATCTCCCTAGAAATGGGGGAAATGAAAATGAAAACAATAATGAGGTGCCATTTCCCCTATCCAATTAGCAAAAGTTGAAAATATGAATAACATCCAGTGTTGATGGGGTGTGGGAACAAACTCTTATGCCGTTAGTGGGAGTGTGAACTAGGGCCTCCTTCTCAGAGCAACTTCACATGAGCTTTCAAAAATGTTTACCAGCAATATGGAGATTCCTCAAAGAATTAAAAACAGAAATACCCTAGGATCCAGCTATCCCACTACTGGGAATCTATCCAACGAACCTGAAATCAACAATCCAAAGAGGCTTAGGCACCCCTATGTTCATTGCAGCATTATTCACTATAGCCAAGACATGGAACCAACCCACGTGTCCCTCGACTGATGATTGGATCAAGAAGATGTGGTATATATATATATCATGGAATACTACTCAGCCATAAAGAAAGACAAAATCGTCCCATTGGCAACAACATGGATGGGCCTGGAGGGTATTAAGTGAAATAAGCCAGAAAGAGAAAGACAAATGCTGTATGATCTCACTCATATGTGGAATATAAACCAACACACGGACAGAGAAAACTGTATTGTGGTTACCAGGGGCAATGGGTGTAGGGGGTGGGCACAAGGGGTGAAGGGAGACATGTATATGGTGATGGACAAACAAAAATGTACAACCCAAAATTTCACAATGTTATAAACTATTAAAACATCAATAAAAAAAAAATTGTTTACCAGGACTTGAACCCAACAATTCTACATCTAGAAATCTACCTTAAGGGCTGATCCAGGTGTGAGGGACACATTTAAGGAAAGTCATCGCAATGTGTTTAGCAACAGCAAAAATTTAAAGACAACCTAAAAATCCATCAATAGGGGAGTGATTAGACAAATTATAGTCTCTTCACGCTATGAAATCCTATGCGGTTGATTTAAACGAAGAAGGAGGTAGAGCTCTTTGTACTGACACGAATGAATCTCCAAATTACAAGCCTCCTTTTGTTAAGAACAACTCAACTAGTGGTTGCTGCAGCTCCTGAGAGCCAATTGTGTTCATCTCTCCCCAACTCCACGTAGGGGACAGCACATCGGGAGCTTGGAATAAGCCATGGTGAGAGTATTTATACCATGGAAACTGGAAAACACTACAAATCAAGGCTTTTTTCCCTTGAGAGCCAGATGTTAAACATGTACCAGCACACCACTGAACTCACCCAGCTCCAAACCCTACGTATGTGTGTGTGTCTTTGTCATGTGTGTAAGGGTCTGGAAGGAAACACAACAGATTGTTAATAAGCATCTCAGCAAACGGTCAAGAGCTGGGCTCTGGAGCCTGATGTCTGGGGCCGACTCCCAGCTCTTTTTTTTTGTGTGTGTGTGTGTGTGAGGAAGATCAGCCCTGAGCTAACATCCATGCTAATCCTCCTCTTTTTGCTGAGGAAGACCGGCCCTGAGCTAACATCTATTGCCAATCCTCCTTTTTTTTCCCCCAAAGCCCTAGTAGATAGTTGTATGTCATAGTTGCACATCCTTCTAGTTGCTGGATGTGGGACTCGGCCTCAGCATGGCTGAAGAAGCAGTGCGTTGGTGCCCACCTGGGATCCGAACCTGGGCCACCAGTAGTGGAGCGCGCGCACTTAACCGCTAAGCCACGGGGCTGGCCCCGAATCCTGGCTCTGACACTTGCAACCTGTGTGACTTTGGGCAAGTCAGTTAACCTCTCTGTGCCTCAGTTTCCTCCTCTGTAAAGAGGAGATAATAGTACCTACCTCACTGAGTTGTTGCAGGGAGTTGTGCTTGGCCCATAATAAACGCCGAGAAACTGTTAGTCAAACCTCTGGGGACAGGGGGTGGGAGACTGACAGGGACCTTCGTATTACTTTATTCCTGTCTGTACTACCTAAGTTTTTTACAAGCACGTGTTTCTTTTGTATTAAAACAAAAACCCAAAAAGTAAAACCAACAAATCCAATTAATCAGTGGTCAGGGTGCAGCACAGACAGGTGTCCCTCCTCCTCCCATCCTCCACTTCCGCCCCCTGCCCTACTCACCGTCGGTGAAAAGAGGCTCAGGGAGCTTTCGGAAGAAGGACTTGAGCAGGCTGCTGATCACATTGAGGTCTTGCCAGCGCTGGGAAAGGGGCAAAGATGTCAGACCGCGTGCAGGCTCAGCCTTATGCCTGCAAACCTCCATCCCCCAGGTCCAGGGCCAGCCAGACCCAGCCCAGGTGCCCACACCTCCACGCTTGTCCAGCCTAGAGCCCAGGCCAGCCCAGCCCAGGCCCTCCCTGGGATCCAGACACACCAACCTCTACTCAGGCCAGGGATCTCTGGGCTAAGAAGACTCATCAGGGTGGTGGCAGCAGAACAGAGTCCCCAGCTAGGTCCTAGCCCCCGACTACCTGGCTCCAGCCCCTCCCTGCCCCAGCCAACCCAGTGGGCCCCAACATCTGCCCATCCACAGAAAGGATGGGGTACCTTCTTTGGTCCAGGCACTGTGGGAGATAGAAGTAAGCAAAACCCACCCCACACCTGCCCATTGGACCTCCACTGAGCCTATGAGTGCCAACTCCTGCTTCCCAGCGCTCCCCATTTAGCAGAGAGTCATCCTCGGACCCCCTCTCCTTCGCCATGACACAGCACTCGTTCACCTGGTGCCTGCCTGTCTCAGGCCCTTTGCACTTGCCCGGTGCCTCCACTAGAACTCTCTTCCCCCTACCCCTCACATGACCGGCTCCTCACCCTATCTAAATGTTACCTCCAGAGAGACCTTCCCTGACCATCATAGCTAAAGCAGCCACCATCACCACTGCCCTGTCATCTGTATCACAGCCCCGCTTCGTTTTTTCCATGGCACTCAGCACAATTTGTCACTATTGTAAACATTCGTTTCCCTTTTCCGCCTAGCTCCCTGGCAGGCTTGTAAACTCCATGAGGGGCACGGATCTTATCTTATCCCCTGCTGTGTTCCTATCACCTAGCCAGCTCCTTGAGCCTGGCACTTAAATGGTCTAAATCAGTAGGTCTCAACCAGGGCGATTCTGCCCCCCAGGGACATCGGCAACGTCCAGAACCATTTTGGTTTTCGCAACTAGGGGGTGCCACTAGCACCTAGAGGATAGAGGAGGCCAGGGATGCTGCTAAACTTCCCCCAGTGTACAGGACAACCTCCCACAACAAACATTATTCTGCCCCAAAAGGTTGAGAAACCCCGGTCTAAATAAACGGTTGTTGAATATAAGAGTGAAGGACAGCCGGGTCATTGTCCCTTCTGTCCACCAGGGGGCACCATCACCCTGCACCATTGGTAGGAACTGTTCAGAGGAACTCACGCCCAGAAAGCAACATAATACCCTCAACAAAGACACACAACTCGACAATATACGTGCTCTTTACAGTGGATCCATAGCTTAATGCCAGAGAATTCCACAAACAATACCCTCCCCACAGGCTCAACAGGAGTTAGATTCACCCTGCACACAAACACTTAACTCCAGCACTCCCCCGACAAATGACACAACTGCTGTCTAAGACAAAACCACACCCCGATACACTCAGCATGCCCCCACTCCAGCAAAGGTGTGTGCTTCAGTGCACACCCCCACCCCTTTACCTCCCTCCCACCTCCTGCCCACCTCCCTCCACTCCCTCCTGGCCCCACAGCATGGGCTCTTCTCATCTCCCAGCTGCCAAACCTAAGCCTTGCCCCGTCCTCCTTGACCCCACCTGTGTGCAAGGATCTGCCCTCTTCCCAGCCTCACCTGAGCTCCCTCTCCCGCCCCACTCAGAGCCTGGCCCTTGCACTCCTGATGGCCACCCTCTCCCCCAACAGCAGCTCCCTCCATCGTTGCACTTCCATACCCCAGCATGACCCATACCCACTCTCCAGTCCACTCTTGGTCTAGTGCCTGAATACGCCATCACCCCCATGTGGGTGACTTACCATCACCCCAAATCCAATGGGGCTGTGACCTGACACTTCTTCCCTCTCCTGCCCTACTCCCCAGTTTCTGCCAGGGACAGAGACCACTGGGCCCCCAGCTCAAACTTTTATCTCTTCCCTGCCCCTCCTCCTCTCTCTCATGCAGCCAACACCAGAGCTGCTCCTAACCTCCTTATTCCCCTGGGACCAGAGTCCTCCTGACCCCTCACACTTCCAATATATCAGTAATTTCTTCCCTAGATGCCCTACCCTGGGGCTCCTTCATTCACACCCATTAGGCATAAGCTAAAGCACTACTCTTTCTCAAACCCCACTCTCCTTTATGCACCCCCCATCCCCCCCAGCTGAAGAACCATCGAAGGCTCCCTATTGTCCATTGGATCAAGGTCAAAGGCTTCAGCAAAGCCATTAAAAGCCCTCTGTCCACTGCCCTGGGCCTCACCTCCCCACTGCCAAGTCCAGGAGGCGGGTCCATTCTCTGTCCTGACACGCAGACCCTTCTCTGGGATTTTGGAAAATGCCATCATTCCCTGCCTGGACTGCCTCCCTGTCTGCCTGCCCCCTCCTGTTCATCCTTCAAACACTCAAGCCCACCACCTGCCCCAGCCCTCCACATCCTCTCCTTCCACATCCTCATCCTCAATGCGAGATCAGCCTTGTCTCTGTCCACTGTTTCACACGTGCTTATCTCTCCATTTCCTTCCCAAGGGCAGGAAGACTGTCACGTCACGTATCACATACAGCTTCACAGTATGTGACTCATGGGACTTTGCTGCCCAGATTCGTGGTTTTCCAAAACATCTTTTTCACTAGAGCCCCTTTTATCAAATAGAATCATACATAAAAACCCAATATGATAAAAATTGACATAAAAAAGCCAGAGCGAAGCAGGTTACTCTAGTTCAAGCAAGGATGGGGGTCCCGACCTGCCCCTGGCCCCCCACAGCACCTCTGGGGACCTCAGGATCCCGGGAAACACAGTTTGAGAACCATGGTCCTGCTGCAAACTCTGTTGTTTTTTTTCATATTGAAACATTGGATATTTTTTCCAGCTTTACTGAGATAGAACTGACATATAGCCTGCTGCAATCTCTTTTTCTTTTTTTTAATTTTTTTCCACTTAATTTTGATGATGACAGTATTTAGTTACAGGGATGGCTATATGATAATTTAATCTCCTATTGTTTTGCTTTTTTTTTTTTTAACTTTATTTATTTATTTATCTCCCCAAAGCCCCAGTAGATAGTTGTATGTCATAGTTGCACATTCTTCTAGTTGCTGTATGTGGGACTCGGCCCCAGCACGGCCGTAGAAGTGGTGCATCTGTGCGCGCCCAGGATCCGAACCCCGGGCCGCCAGCAGTGGAGGGCGCGCACTTAACCACTAAGCCACAGGGCCAGCCTTGCAATCTCTTAAGTGTGGTTGTTAGATCTCCTCACGAGCTGGTCTCATTTCATCTGATCAGCCCCTTCTCTTCCCACGTTGCAGCCACCCAAAATTGCTGGCCGGTCCAGAAAACACCATACACTCCCCTTCTTCTAAGCCAGGGCCTGCAAACCACAGCCGGTAGGTCAAATCCAGCCAATGGCCTGTTTCTGTACAGGCTTTGGGCTAAGAATTTTACATCTTTAAATGTAAAATTTTACTGTTTTAAAGGGTTGTGAAGGCCGGCCCCGTGGCTTATCGGTTAAGTGTTCGCGCTCCGCTGCTGGCGGCCCAGGTTCGGATCCCGGCCGTGCACCGACGCACCGCTTCTCCGGCCATGCTGAGGCCGCGTCCCACATACAGCAGCTAGAAGGATGTGCAGCTATGACATACAACTATCTACTGGGGCTTTGGGGGGAAATAAAATAAATAAATAAAATCTTTAAAAAAACAAAATGAAAAAAAATAAAGGGTCGTGAAGGAAAAGGAGGAGGGGTGGTGGAGGAGGGTATGCATTAGAGTCCGCGTGGTAACCAAAGCCTGCGATATCTACTGCCCGGCCCTTAGAGAGAAGGGGTGTTGACGGCTGGCTCACCTGCAGAGTCTGCGCCCCTGCCCAGGCCATGCCCTCTGCCTGGAATGCCCTTTCCTGGCTTTCACTGGCTTTTAGTGGACTCTGCTCGTCCACAAGGCCCAGAGAACTGTTGCCCACGAGCCTCTGCCTCGGGCTCCCCAGGCCACAACCACATCTGTCTGTTTGGCTTCAGCTGGAGTGGGCCCGTCCCCAGCACCAGCCCGCAAGGACAGGTCCCGTCTTGCCCATCTTGGTGCTCTGGCCCAGTGCCGGGTACATCGCAGGGTACAATGAACACGACAGACACACAGGCCACCTGGGCGCCCCCTCCACAGACCCCCCAGCCACACCCACCTCATCCTGCAGGTTGATGTCACCGGGCCCGCGGTTGAGCTGCTCCTGCAAGCTGGACACCACTGCATTGTTGCCCGGCACCCGGTAAATGCCCGTGGACTCCAGGCCCCGTGCCTCCACAATGCGACAGCATGCAGCCACAATCAGGGGGACACGCTGGGGACACAGGCAGGGCAGGGGTGTTAGGGAAGGCAAGGGCGGCATTTTCCACCAGTGGGCCAGAGGAGGTGGGGAGGCCAGGAAGGGGGCAGCACAAGGCCAGAGCTGCTGCCAGGAACCCCATGGGGGGACAAGAGGCCCTCGCTGCCTCCAATCTGGGGACTAGAAATTACACCAAAGCCTCCCCATGGGCTGAGAGAGAGTACGGCTGGGGGTCAGGGATTCGGGCTCTGCCTCAGCTCTGCTGCTCCCTCCCTGGGCTGTGTCCTCAGCTGTGTCCGTAGGACGAGGTGGAGAGCTGGTCCCAAAGCCCCTTGCAGCTCTGACTCTCTGTGCCTTGGTCTCCCCCCTCCCTGCTTGCTCTGGAGAACAGCAGGGCCCACCTGGTTCTCTGTGGCTGGCTGGCACTCCTCCAGCCGGACCCCAAACGCCCTGGGGGCTGCCTTCTTGTTCTTCTTGATGATGTTGATGCCCCAGGGGGCTTTAGGGGTGGCAGCACTGTCATCTGGGGTGGGGGGAGGCAGAGAGAGTCAAGGTGAGCTGGGGGCCCAGGACGGGCAGCAACCACACTTGGTCACACACACTGACCTGTCACATTCACACATGCCTGGACATATGGGGGCTCCATCAGAGAAGGAACTGGGATGCTGAGGGCCAATGGGAAATTACATCCTGAGAGAGAACGCAGAAGGGATGAGGGTGTTTGCCCGGGAGAAGAGAGGCCTCAGAGTAACGTGAGGACTTCTGTATGACCTCAAGGGCTCACACAATGAGGTGGGAGCCACAGATTCTGGTACAACCAAAGGAAGAACTTTCTAACAGCCAAAAGTGTGTGAAGATGGAAAAGGCTGCCTCCAGAGAGGATGAGCCTCCCCCTCCTGAAGGGACACAAGCAAAGACTGGAGGGCCACACAGCTGAGATGTCATGGAGGGAAATCAGGTGCCAGGCCCTTCCAGCCCCGAGACCCTGAGAGCCCCCAGACTCCCACAGGTATACACACCAGGATAACTGTGGCACACATCCACAGGCACACACACAGCCCAACACACACACTAACGCGCCCTCTGCTCCTGTGCAGACCAACAGGGCTGACACCCACCCTCCCACACGCACCACGCACACCATCCCCTTCGCAGCCACCTTCCTACCCTTACTCCCTGCAGGCTGGTCCTGAGTCCTGAGGCCGCGAGCCGTACTCTGTTTGAGGAACTCAGACTTGAGGCCCCCGAGGCCACGAGAGCCTTTTGGGGAGGAATCAGCTTTGGGCCCAGAGCTATGGCTGTGTAGGAAAAGGGGGAGAGAGGTCTTCATCAGGCGGACCCAGGATGCCACCTGCCCTGGCCTCTCACCACTTCGGACCTCCCCTTCATCCCTGGGCAATCCCTCCACGCCCTTCTGGGGACTGGGGGCCTCAATGCCCTTGCTGCCCTCCCTGCCCCCAGCAGAGGGCAACTTGGGGGCTGCCCTCAGGCCTGGAGGATGCCCTCTGCCTGGAGTCCCCCTACCCCATGGCCAGGACTGCTCCACAAGGCCTGGGCCTCACCTCACTTTGCGGTAATCATTAAGCTTCTTGCTGATCAGAGCTTGGTTGGCACAGCCGGGGTCCTGGAGGAAGGGGAAGAGAAAGCAGACCCCATCAGTGCCCACAGTCAGCCCACCCAAGGCTCATCCCTGGCCCCTGCCTCAGCCTCGCCTCCCCTCTCCTCCATCAGCCAGCTGGAGGGCACAGACCCTGGAGCGAGAAAGACCAGGGCTGGACTCCAGAGCACCCCCTCACCAGCTGTGTGACCTTGGGTAATCCACTTAGCCTCTGTGAGCCTCAGTCCCCTCAGCAGTAACATGCGGAGATAATGTGGCAACCTCAGGATTGGGGTGCAGAATTATGCACGTAGCACTCATGACAGTCCTGGCAAGGCACAGAGGGGGTGCCCCATGAGGCACAGCTATTGCGATAATGAAGATGACTTGGGACCTCTTGACTGTGCCCTGTTGGGGACAGCCCAGCCAGGCCCCCTAGAGCAGGGGCCCCAGATTCCAGGTACTTTCCTCCCTGTAGTGAGGAAAGACAATGTCTTGGGAGGACAGAGCCGGGTTCAGCGAGAGGATGTGTCCTCCGCGAGAGGGTCTGTGGCCCAGAGGCTGTGCACTGGGACCCTCTCCCCACAGCCAGAGTGGGTGTATGGCCTGGACGAGGAGGGCCCAGGCCCACTGTCCTTTTGGCAGAGATCAGCCCGCAAGCCTAGGACCCCACATAACTTTGCGCAGGTGTGTTGAGGCACCTTTGTGCCGGCACCTGGCAGAGCGGCTGACCACAGGAAGAAACCCCAGCCGAGGCCCCTGGTGCGTAGCTGCAGCTTCCCAGGAGGGGGCGCCACTTCACAAATTCTCCCAAAGTGCCTTCCAAAGCCCTTGGCTCAACCCCAGCCGCCTGCCGCCAAAGGCCAATCCTCTTGGCCTCCTGCCAAGGTCAGCGTGTGGGTGCCCCGCAGACAGGCCAGCCCTGTCAGAAGGGCCAGCCACAGTTTTGGCACAGGGGCACCTCATTCTGTAATGAGACCCCCCCCCCCACCTCCAGCAAGAAGCTGAGGTTGGCCTGGGGCTGACCTCTGTGCCAGAGCATGCCCAAGGCAGTCATAACGATAATAATAACAATTACTCTCATTCCTACAGCTATTATTTTTACTGCCAGTCATGGTACACTAAGGACGCCAGGTGCTCTGTGAGCCACTGTCCGTGCATCTTTTCTTCACACCAAACCCTAGGTGGGGGTGTGCAAGGTGTACTCCTGTTAGCCCATGTGACAGAAGCGGGCACTGAGGCTCAGGGCGGGGAAGGAGGTCCCGGCAAGTGAGAGGTGGCCCTGGGCCCGCCCTGCCCTCCTCGCCCGGCTGGGGCTGGGCGGGGCCCTCACCTCGCCCTCGGCCCTGCTGTTCTCTCGGATCGCTCTGATCCAGCCCAGCATGTCATCCCGGTCCTCAGCCTGAAAGAGATATTCACAGAAGTCAGCGGTGGTCAGCCGGAACACGTGCCTCCTCTTGGTCTCGCTGTAGGAGATGTCCACCAGGCAGGAGCCGATGCAGACGGGCGCCGCCTCGTCCTCACCTGCGACGGCCGCCGCCGCCCCCGCCGCCGCCGGCCCGGGCTCCCGCCGCTCCTTGCTCAGCGAGAGCGAGCGCGCCCGCAGCGCGGCGTACACCCGCTTCCACTGGCGCAGGCCGCCGCCCGCTTTCTGCAGGGAGACACGGGAGGGGGAGAGACGGAGGGGGAGGGTGTGAGAGGCCAGGCCTGCCCTCCCCGCCCCCAGAGCCCTAGCGGGCCCTAGAAGCTGCAGACAGTGGACAGCAGTGGGGACCCCCACCCCACGGCCCACCAGGAGCCCCCTTGCTCCACCCCTGCCGGGACCTGGGGCAGCCTCCTGCCAACAGTCCCCCAGCTCTCTCAGCCCCTCGCCTGCCTGGACACCCCTATCCATGTTTCTCAGTCCCCCCAGAGGGTCCCCAACCTTCTCTTTTTTTTTTTTTTTTTTTAAAGATTTTATTTATTTTATTTTTCCCCCCAAAGCCCCAGTGGATAGTTGTGTGTCGTAGCTGCACATCCTTCTAGTTGCTGTATGTGGGACTCGGCCTCAGGATGAACGGAGAAGTGGTGCCTCGATGCGCACCGGGGATCCGAACCCGGGCCACCAGCATCGCAGCGCGCACACTTAACCACCAAGCCACAGGGCCGGCCCATCCCAACCTTCTCTTTATTTATTTTTTTTTTTATTTAATTTTTTCCCCCAAAGCCCCAGTAGATAGTTGTATGTCACAGCTGCACATCCTTCTAGTTGCTGTATGTGGGACGCGGCCTCAGCATGGCTGGAGAAGCGGTGCATCAGTGCGCGCTCAGGATCGGAACCCGAGCCACCAGCAGCGGAGTGCAAGCACTTAACCGCTAAGCCACGGGCCGGCCCCCAACCTTCTCTTTAAATACTAGCTAGCATCGACACTCATCTGGCGTTGGCAATGCCCCAGAGAACCAGCAGGACTCTGGGAGGGCAATCAGGCCCCCCAACCAGCGTGACCCACCTTCTAAAATCCTCGTAAAGCCATTTAGTCCACATATTGCTCCCCCTTCACAGCAAAACTGGTCAAGAGTTGTCAGAACACTTGCTCTCCCCACCTCTGTGCCTCTCACTCAAGACTCCACTCAGTATCCCCCTCCCTGGAAATCTCTCACAAGGTCACCCAGGCCCTCCATGTTGCCAACGCCAGTAGTGGCTTCTTGGCCCTTCTCAGCCCTTTTCTTAACTTCTCAGTGGCATCTGACCCAGCTGGCCGCTCCTTCCCTCTCCAAACCCTTTCTTGGCATCAGGGACCCCACGGTCCCTGGTTTTCCTCCTAATTCCACTAGCTCCTTCTCAGTGTCCTCCACTGGTTTCTCTCTCCCCGACATCCTCTACACCAGTGGTTCTCAACCAGGTGACTCGCCCCCAGAGGACATTTGTCTGGAGACATTTCCGTTGTCACACCTGGGGAAGGGCTATGGCATCCAGTGGGTAGAAGCCAAGCATGATGTTAAACATGCCCCAATGCCCAGGACAGCCCCCACAACAGAATCATCTGGCCCAAAATGTCCGTAGACCTGAGGCTGAGACCCTGCCCTGAAGGAGACAGAGTTCCAGAACTTTGTCCTGGGTCCCCCTCTCCCTGCATGCCCCCGCCATGGCGTCATCCATGCCCAAGGCTTCCAATCCCGTCTGTCTGCTGACAATGATCCCTAAATGTGCTCGGCCCAGCATCTCCCCCGAGTCACAGTCCTGCACCCCACTGCCTGCTCAGGGTCTCCACTAGCATGTCCCACGGGCACTTCCCACGCTACTTGCTCACTGTGGGCCACCTGACTTTCACCATCAAACCCCCCACCCCCACCTTTTCCAGCTCAGTAAATCTACCCAGTTGCCCAGAAACCTGGGATTTGCCCTTGAACTCTTCCCTTATCCTCCCCCTCGACATCCAACCCACTAGGAAACCACGACTGTTCTGCTTCCAAAATATCACCCGTCTCCATCTCTCCTGCTACCACCTCGTCCACACCATCGACACCTCTTGCCTGGACAACTGCACAAACCTTCCCAGTCTCCACTGTCACCTCCTGGGACCCATTCTCCACCTGGCAGCTGCAGCCATCACTTAAAAATGTAGACGAGATCCTGTCTCTCCCCTGCTGAGCACCCCTCATGGGTTCCCATGGCCCTGGAATCGAATCTAAGCTCTTTGTGATCTGGTCCCTGCCTCTTTCCCGCCTCCTTCTTCCTCACTATCTCAAGCCACAGGGAACTTCTCCGGGGAACAAGCCAAGCCTTGCCTTTCTCTGGGCCTTTGCACTTGCTGTTCCTTCTGCCCAGAGCCCCTTCTCTCCCTTCTTCGTGTGGATGCCCCCTGGCCCTTCAGGTCTGAGCTCAAATGTCACCAACATCAGCTCCTCCGAGAGGCCTTCTCTATTTTTTTTTTCTGTAAAGGCAGCTCCGCTCTTCCTCCCAACTTAAAGGCCATCACCTCAGCTGTTCACTTTCCCTGAGTGCTGATGGTAAGCTCCGGGGGGGCAGGCAGCTTGTCTGTCCTCTCACTTCCATATTCCAGGGCCTAGAGCCACACTGGCACAGGGTAAGTGCTTGGCAGTATTTACTGAATAAATGAATTAACCATCCTCGGAGCACCCCGAGGGCAGGGGCTCCATCACCCCCATCAGACCAAGGGCTCCCTTCCTCCGGCTAGTGGCCCACCTCCTACTCCACACCCAGCACGAGCCTCTGCCCTCAGAGCAAAGGAGACGAGGATGCTCCATGGCTAGAGGTGAACACAGCCGTGTCTGCCGTGAGCCCCACCCACCACCACAGCCCTGCTGGCCTCGGGCAGGGACATTCAGAGCAGGAGACAGCAGGGCCCTCGAGGAGAAGCTTAGTGTCAGACTGAGGTGGTGACAAGGGTGCCCCTTTGAGACTGAACCAGCTAGGTGACCTTGGACATGTCAAGCCCCCTCCCCTGGCATCAGTGTTCCCTGTTGGTAAAACGAGAGGTGAACTGGCTGGTCTCCAAGCTTGCATCAGCTCAAATGGCAGGTCTGTGGCTGCAGGGACGTATCACACACACCCACCCCCCCCTCTGGAGGATTGTCTCCTCCAGAGACAATCAACGGTCTCTGAAAGAGGCTGAGCGGTTGGGGGGTGGGCAGGACAGGCTGGACTTGCTGCAACAGACATCTGGCTGGCAATCAGGAACCCAGACAGACCATCAGGACCCCAGACAGACCAAGGGCGTGAAGCTGGCTGGCCGGCGCCTCTCCTAACTACCAGGGCATGGCACCAAGGGAACAAGTGAAATCGGGTTTTGACCGGAGTGGGAGTGGAAGCCCCTGTCCTCCAGAGCTGATCCGTGAGCAGCAAGGGGCCGGCTCCTCTCCCTGCCCAGGAGACATTGCAGCTGGGCTGCCAGGGGCCACCCAGAGCTGGGGGACAGGCTACCTGGCAGGTGGGAGGGAGCCAGCAGTTCTCACAGGCCTCAGAGTGGCTCAAATGTGGCACTGGAAGGTTTGTGCATGCCTGGCTCCCCTTCCTCCACTCACACAGCTGGCCCCTGCTGCCCCTCCTAGGGCGCCCCTCCTGGTTTACTGCCACCTTGCTGGCTCTCCTCCTTGGCCTCCGTCCCCCACATTCTCTCAAGGCGCAGCTGGTCTCTTGCCTTCTCCCTAGGTGCTCACACCCCGGTGGCTGCAGGTGTCCGTGTACCCTGATGGACAAATGCCCTCTGTCCCTAGGACGCCTCCACCAGGGTATGTCCCAGGGCCCTCAGACTCCATGGGACCCCGAAGAAACCTCTTGGCTTCCTCTCGCCAAACCTCCTCCTCAGTGCCCTGTGGCTCAGGGGAGGGTCCCACCACCCATCACCCCCACAGCCCAAGCCCCAGGAACCAGCGTCACCTCCTCCATCCTCACTCATCTCGCAGCCATCAGCAAGCCCAGGCCTTCCTTCTCTTTGAATCTCTCTAAATTGTCCCCACGCCACGACCTTGGTCAGGGCCCCCACCCTCGCTCACCTGGACAACAGCAGTGGCGTTGACTCCTGCTGTCCCCGATGGAACACTGGCCTCCTCGGTCACGCACCTCCCACCCCCATTTAAACCCTGCAACACTTGCCCTGAGCAACAATGCCCGGCATGCGGCGGCAGGCGCCCGACTCCCCACCTTGGCTTCCATCTCCTGCTCTGGCTCCCAGCCTCCCAGCACCCCTCCCCACCTTTCTCCCAAACTGTACAGGAGGGCATCCCCCCGTCAGACCCCTCCTTTCCCTCCCTCTCTTGTGGATTCCCACACACCCTTCATGTCTCAGCCTTCGAGATGCCCTCTCCTGCCCTGCTGAGGTTAGGGTCACCTACCCTGTGCTGTGCCCTCACCCCCCATCATAACAGTCATGGGCTGGTAACTGTCATACAACATGTGTTTCTCTGCTCATCACGAGCCCCAGCAGGGCAGGACTGGCCTGGCTCCCCACCACTAAATCCCCAGACCCTCAACCAAAAACCAGAGCAGAGTGGGCCCTTCGTCCTTGTCTGCGGACTGGCTGAGGGCACGGAGGAGTACCAGCACTGCCTGGACCGCACATCTCACTTCGCCTCATACCGGCCCTCGGAGTAGAACACTGTCCCCATCTGACAGATCAGAAAAGCGAGGCTCAGCAGTTAAGGGGGTTGCCCAAAGCCAGACGCTTGATAAGTGGCTGGGCAGGGGCTCCAAGTCTGTCTGACCTCAAAGCTTATGTTCTCCCAGGTCCAAGACCCCTAGAAGGCAGGGTGGAAAATTCAGCTAACAGCAGTAAGCAGAAGAATAGCAGCTCCCCCAAGACAGGTGCTGGGTAAACCCTTAGATCATCTCATTGAATCCTCAGCAGCAGGCGGTCAAGCCAGGGACTATTATTAGCTCCATTTACAGACGAGGAAACTGAGTCATAGGCAGGTGAGTCACCAGGCTCCCCCAGTCCAGAGCCAAGCCCAGGTTTATGCGTACCGGTCTGCTCAGCTTTGCCAGGGCTGCCTGGAGGGACGGCAGTGGGGCTGCCTCTCCTCCCCCTTCCTCAGCCATGGCGCTGGCCTGGAACTGGAGGCTCACACTCCATGGACCCGGGAGCCTCGCATTCTCCCCTTGAGATCCTGCTCATCCCCCCCACGCTGCCCCCCAGACCCAAGCCCCCTTCATCGCTCACCTGGGTCTCTGCAGTGGCTCTTAACTGGTCTTCTTGCCTCCAGTTTGGCCCCCCTCTAATTCACTGCCCAGGAAGCCAACTGGGTATTTTAAAGCTGTAACTCCCTCCTGAGAGAGGCCCCAGGGGCTTTCTGCTGCCCTTAGGGTAAAGACTAAAACCTTTGCTGGCCCTGAAAAGGCTGACCTCTGCTTTCTTTTTGGGCCTCAGCTCCCCTCCCCTGACCTTGCTACCTCAATTTGCATGAGGCCCTGTGGCCATTTTGGGGGTGATCTGTCAACCAAGGATCACTGTGGGATGGTTTTGTCAGAATTCCAAGCACAACTTCATCAGATCTATCCCACAGCAAAGACCACCTCTCTGGTTAACCTCTTTTTCATGAGTTCTTTAGGTCCCCTAGGAAGTTCTTCCTAGCATCTAACCTCTACTCCTCATGCTACAGCGTCAGCTGGTTCTCTGTGGCTCTAGAGGCTGTGGGGTGAGTGTAGAAACTGGAGAGGCCTGCTGGAGGCAGCTTCCATCCACCTCCATCCCATTCCTCCAGCCATCTTACCTTCCCCTTCTTGGTGAGGACCTGCTTATAATACAACCAGCCTTCTCTCCTGATATCACTGAAGGCTGAGTCCGAGAGGTCAGAGGTTGAGTGTCGCTTAGAAGGGGCGTCAGCATCTTCGGAAGTGCCCCAGCTATCCAAGGACTGCAGTGAGACAACAGAGGGCAATTTAGGGTGGCTGCCACAGTGTCAGCATCTCAGGAACCCCATGGACCACTCACAGCCACACAGGCCTGGTGAGGCTCCGCTGTGCTATGTGGCCTCATAGGCCTTGCTTGCCCTCTCTGAATCACTTGTGTTGAGAACATGAGACATATGTGATGGGGAAGCCAGAAAGGAGGAAAGGCTATGACCTGCAGACCGCATGCCTCGCCACGCTAGAAACGCCAATCTGGAACCTCCCTTAACTTTATAGACTTAAAGGAATTAAGGAAACAGAGGAAATGATTATGTCAACACGAAGTTAAATAAACAGTGGAAGTGGAAACATCAACAAAGACCGAGTTAGTGGAGCAGGTATTCATGTCCATAAGGAGTTAAACAGAGGAAGTGATAGTGTCAACAGGACTCCAGCAACAGAGGGGACATGTCAAGGGAGAGTTAAGTAAGCAGAGGAAGTGATAAAGAATAAGCCAGGTGACAATATCATTCAAGGTGTTAAATGAACCCAAGATATGAAGGGTTTGAAATCAAGATGGCTTTTCCAGTCGGTCCATAACCAAAAAGAGTAAGGCCATTTCAGAACCGACCCTATGTCTCCCCAGGTCCTGAGGCTGGAAACTCTAGCCTCTCCATCACTGTCAACCCTACATCCCCCCTGTGCCCTGAAGACACCATGCAAATACTGGCCAAGTGCCGCCCCGTGCAGGCGCTGTTTTGGGTACCCTAGGGATCAAGCAAATGAACTCCCCGCCCTCAGGGCTTACGTTCTAGCGGGGGCGACAGGCAAGGAAGGAGAGAGATCATTCATTGTCTAACGTGAGAAAAACACGAAGTGGAGAAGGGAGGCGTGAAATGCCAGGAGTGAGGGCTGAAATTTCCAGGAGGTCCTAAAACGACCTGAAGAAAGTAAAAAGTGGGTCATGTGGCTCTGGGAGGGCATTCTAGATGGAGGGAGAACAAGCACAAAGGCCTCGGGTGGGAGTTAAGTGATGACAGAGCCCACGGGAGAGGGTGGGTCACGTGGCTGACACAAGGGTGAGGGGGTGCAGGGAGGAACGGGGAGACAGGAGCTGGAGTAGCTCCTTTCGGATCACAGAAGCCCCAGGCCCGGAACCCTCTGCCAAGGCTGGGCCCCCCACAGCCCTCCAACACCCTCACTAGCACACACTTCCCACTCACCCCATCAGTGAAGAAGCTTCGGAGCATCCGTAGGCTGGGGACTCGGTTTGGCAGGCGCCTAGGGAGCGAGGACCGAGGGTGAGGGATGTGGGAAGCACAGCCTGGACCTCTCCGCAGGCCCCAAGGCTCAGAGGCCTTCCAGGGAGGGAGCACTCTGCCCGGTCTGTAGAGGGCCCCGGGGCCAAAAGCCCCCCCCAGAACTGAGGGAGCGGCCGCCCAAGGTGGTTGTGACAGCCCCTCCCCCAGTGCAGACAAGGCCTTACCGCAGAGCCCTGCCCTCGTCCCGGAAGGTGTTGAGCCCATCGTCGCAGGACTTGGAGCGTTCCGTGGTGATGGCCAGCAAGTAGGAGGAGCGCCGGCCGGCCTTGATGCTGCCTGCAAACCACCCACATTGGGCCCCAGGCTCAGCAAGGCAGCAGGGTGCGGGCTTTCCCAAACCCTCCTGTCCGGGCAAGGCCAGGAGCTGACTCTCCCCATGGTGCTCCAGGAGGAGCAGAAGCCAGTTGAAAGTGGCCAGACATCAAGCAGCAGGCCCAATAAGACCCCTAGGGACCGGGCAGCAAGGGAGCAGGTAGGGCTGGGGGTGCGGGGAGCACTCACTGCAGTCCTGGGAGTAATGATGGCGGCCAAGGGCAAAGGTGAAGGTTGGGGAGGACGGGCTGGTGCCCAGGACGGGGGCCGAGTTCATGGCGCTGGAGACCACAGCAGAAGCAGGGACATGCTTGGCTTGGAGGTCAATGCTGGGGCTGGTGGGCTCATCTGCACAAGCAGAGGGTGGTGGGTGAAGGCAGCAGAAGGCTGAACCTGCCTTCCCCGACCCTCAGCCTCACCTCCGGACCCAGACCACATCCCCAAGGCCCCGCAAGCTCTCCGGGGCCCTGCTGGCAACATGCCCACTGCCAAGGGTGATCGACCCACCAGACTGTGGTCGTGGAGGCTCAGCCCCGGCCTCCCCCATCATACTCAGGGCACCCAGCACGCAGGAGTGGGGTTGAGCCACCCTCCTTAGACCTGGCTCCTGAGGGCAAGGCCTGTGTCTCCCCCCAAACACTGAAAGCTCTCTCAGGGCATGGATTTTGTCTCCTCCATCCTTCTGAAGGCAAGGACTATGTTTCCCCCACCAGACTGGGAGCTTCTTGAGGACAGAGCATCTCCCCCATCAGTTGGGGGCTCCTTGAGGATGGGTGCCATGTCTCCCTCTCAGACTGGGAGTACCCTGAAACTAGACCTTACCTCCCCTGTCAGACTGAGAGCTTACTAAGAAAAAAGGCTGTGTCTGCCCTCTCAGACTGAAGGCTGGCTGGGTGCGGCCAGGGCTGTGCCTCCGCTCCCTAGCCCAGGCCTCTTCTTCACTCCCATGGCTTCCCTAGGGCAAGCTCACCACTCTCAGTTCCAGGTACCACCTCTCAGCTCCTGGCTCCCAGTCCCATGATCTTGCATCCTGGTCTTTCTCCCAAGCCCTAGACCCAGCCCAGCCCATCCTGCTCCCTCCTGGGTGCTTCTTATTCAGCAAACCCTAAACCTTTTCCTGCCCCACTCCCTCCCATTCCCAATATGGAGGTGAGGCACCACCCTCTGGCTAGTGATACCCAGAAATCTGGGTATCACTCAACCTCTCCACTCGCTCACCTCTCCCTTATCCAACATCTGTTCTAAAGACAGCAAGTCTTCAGTATTCCCTCTGCTCTCAGGATAAAGTCCAAACTCCCCAGCAACTGACAAGACCCCTCTGGATCTGTCCCAAAGACCTGGAAGGGCATCCTGCCTCTTGCACTTCAGAGACTTTGCATATTCTATTCTCTCTCCCTGAACATTCTTCCCCTGACTAACTCCTTCAAATCTTAGCCGAAATCTTTCTCCAAGATTCTCTCCTTGGCCACCATGCCCTCCAGTCTAGGCTGTATAGCCCTTCTCTGTCTCCTAGAGATCCCTGTACTCTCATCACACACCCATTCCACGGGATTGTTCTTGCCTGATCATCCATCCCCCTATTGGACCATACACTCCAGGAGAGCAGAGAGCCCAGCACAGTGGCTAACACAGATATCTGTTGGATGGAGGGTGGATGGAAGGAACAAAGAGTGAAAGGAACAAAGGAAAGAAATAATGGAAGGGTGAAAGAAAGGGTGAAAGGAAAGAATAATGGAAAAACGCAAGGAAGGAAGGAAGAAACCAACAAAGGAAAGAGTGAGGGGGGAAGGGAGGGAAAGAGGGTAGAAGAATAGATGCATGAGTAGATGGATGGAAGAAAGTATGGAGGGAGGAAGGAAAGGAGCCAGGAGAAAGAGAGAGGACAGGAAGGAAGGAAGGAAGGAAGGAAGGAAGGAAGGGGGACGAGAAGATAGCTGGAAGGGTAAATGAATGGTAGGAAGGATGGTGGAAGAATGGAAGAGAGGACAGAAGGATGAAGGGATGGATGGATGGATGGATGGATGGATGGATGGGGGGATGGATGGATAGATGGATGGGGGGATGGATGGATGGGGGGATGAATGGATGGATGGGTAGATGAATGGACAGATGGATAGACGGACAGAGAAACAGGTTGATCCCATCAGCACCCAACCCAGAGTTTTGCTCACAGTGACAGGTGGGTGGAGTACGACAGGGCACAGACGACCAAGTCTACCGAGATAGCCACCTGCACCATCACTCACCGATGAAGGGAATGGAAGCCAGAGAGTCTTCAGTAGTAGTCAAAGGGGCCACCTTCCTGCCCAGGCGTTCCCCTCGCCCACTGGCCTCTGGCTCTGGGGACTCTTCCCCAAACCCAAGGTTCATCTGTCTTGCAGGGGGCAGCTGGACCTTGCGGCCCGTTGGAGGCTTCTGCCTCAGGACCACCTCGTCACGGCGATCCTCAGCGGGAGGCTCCAGGGCCCGAGTGCTGGGTTCTGGTCGGACAACCCTGGGTGGTTCGGAGGCTTCCGGTGGGAATGGTGCAGGGGACTGGGCCAAGTTGAAGGTGGGCAGCCCCCCAAAGGGTGAGTCCCGGAAGGAGAGTGCGTGCAGGAGGCCAGTCCGGCGCTGGAATGATGGGCTGTAGCTCCGGTACCCGATGTACCCAATGTCGTCCAGGCCCTGCAGGCCAGTTGGGGCTGGGGCCTGGGGCCCGGGCAGGTCCCTCGGTGGGCAGGCAGGTGTGCGGGCAGACGGACGCTGGGAAGCCCAGCCACAGCGCTCGAAGCGGGGTGACACCAGGGCCCCTGGCCCCAGCGCCTCAGCTGAGCGGGTGGCCCGGCTCAGGTAGTCGTCTGAGCGAGCTCGGTGCCAGCCCTCCTGGCCTAGCTGGCTCAAGGCACCCTGGGAGGTGGAGCAGGGCCATGGGCGGTGGGCAGTCACGTCCTCCAAACGGTCCTGGGAGGCACTGCGGGCCCGGGGGGGCATGGTGGGGCACCGTCTCTCCCCCGCCCTGCGGGGTACCTGGTTCGACAGCCACTGTGACAAGGCCTGTTGGCACTCCAGTCTGCTGGGGGGTACCCGGCTGCCAGGCTCCGGGAAGGCACGGGGCGTCCGGGACTCCGCAGGAAGGCGGGGGAAGGCACCAGGGCTGGGGCGGGGCTGGCTCATCCCCAAGGAAGGGTTGTCCGGATGGGTGCGGGTGGCTGATGGGACTCGGGGCCCCGGGTCGCTCCAGGCAGCGGGACTCCGGGGGTCACTGGGTAGCGCTGAGAGGGGCTCAGGCACCATAGTGGCCCAGGTGGAGACCCGGGCTGGCGGGGCGTAGGTCTTCCGGGGGTAGCAGAGTGGGGGTGGCTCTGGGATGCTCCGGGCCTCTCCGGAATACGGCTCGTTCCCCTTCAGGTAGGCGTCCTGGGAGTAGGCCTGGTCGGGGACACAAGGCAGGTGAGCAGGGCCAAACAGGCCCCAGAGGGCAATGTTACAGCAGGCCTGGGAAACCAAGGCCCCCAGAGAAGGGGACTGAAGGAGAGGACCAAGCAGGCGGAGCCCTGAGTGGGTGGGGTGGGAGGGCACACTCCAGAGAGACGGGGGAGGACAAAGACATAAGAGGCCTCTGAGAGTCACACTCACACACACTCACTCAAGAGAGAGCCAGGATTTCTCTAAGACTTACGACAAGGACTGCCTTTAGCCACAAACATTCCAACATCTGTTTTCTGGGATCCTGCCCCCATGCTGGCCTCAGCCACCTCCCTGCTTCCTCACGTCCAAGGGTACCCACAGGCCCTCAGGCAGAGCTGGGAAACTCCACCAGAGACCAGTCAAGGTGGCAGATGACAGGGAAGGAAGCTGGCTAAGGGGTGTGTCCAGGGTGGGGTGGGCTGGGGATGAGTGGGGGCTGGGAGAGCCCAGCTGTCCCTGCTTCCCTTGGATGGGGAGCCAGGGGCCTGGCTCCTGGGCCACTGGGGTAAGAAGGAACTTGTCTACCTCCTGCTCCCTCTGGGCCAGGCTTTGGGGAGGGGACAGATTGGCCGAGGGGCCTTGGGCCACCTTCTGCCACCCAGGCCTGGAATTTGGCTCTGGGAGCTGAGGCTGACGCTGCATTGCTGAGGAGTGACAGGGCCGGTGCCCAGGCCCGGCCAAAAAAGGAGGTGGCCCCCAGGGACAGCGGCCTTGTGGCCCTGGCCCAGCCTGGCCTTTATGGGCTCCCAGGGGCCCATCTCAGGGAGAAGCATCAAAAGGTGGGATGATGAAACCAAACAGACACACACACACACACACACACACACCCCACCCCACCCACAAGGAGACACAGGAAAATACACACCCTGAGACACACTCACACACACATAGCAAAACACAATGAGACACACACACACACAAATAACTACATCTCCAGTCCCAGGCACACACATCATGTGATGAAGATGAGCTAAACCACACCCTGCACACTCAGCCCCCTTCGGACTCACACACACGGGACCAGGGACACTCACATACCTCTCCCTCCTGCCATCCTGCCGGCTCCCGGGGCTCCCCACATCAAGGCAGTGGCGGCAGCATCCCGGCCCGCCTCCGCCCTCCCCCCGCCCCCAGCTAACCCCCACTGACCACTGTGCCAGCCCTGGCCTCCGTGGCCCCCAGTCTGCCCTCCCCGCAGCTGCCCTCAGCCCCCACCGGCTCTCTCGGCGGGTGGGAGGAGGAGGGAGGGGAGGATGGGTGTGGAGGGGCCTTGCCGCGTCGGCGGTGGCGTCAGCAGCTGCCGCGGCCCCATTGGCCTCCAGCCTTGGCTCCCAACCACAGGAATGCCTGGGCCCCACCCTCCGGCCGGCGCGGAGTGGGGGGCAGCGTAGGCTCCCAGATGCTGACATCTGGGGCTGTCTGCCCACCCGAGCCTGGGTAGCAGAGCTCCAGGTGCTGCCCTCCTCACCCCTTGTCCCCCTCCAGCTGGAGAGCCGGGATGCCCTCCTGTCAGCCCCCCATAGCCTCGCCTCAGCTTCGGGGGGAGGTGTACGGGCAGGACCTTTGAGATGGGAAGAGGGGGCCATCCACTTCTCCCGGTCCCCATCTTCACTCCCCCCTCCCCAGGAAGGGCAAGGAGACAATTGAGGTCAGGGGGTGGAGGTTCCCAGAGGGGCCCGGTGCCAAGCATGGCACTGTGATTACAGTGATTATGAGAGCACATCCAGGGCAGAAGCCAGTATGGCGGCTCCCAGGACCTCCCGGGCTTGGCCCTCAGCCCTCTCCTGGCGGGCAGTGACTTTGGGGGCAAGCAAGCTGGCATCTGGCTGGGAGCCATGAGACCACGAAACTGGGCACTGGGCACAGAGGACTGCCCTGGGCTCTGGGTCAGGGCTGGAGGAAGGCACAGACGGCATGGGGGTGTGCGTGTGCACAGCGTGTGGGGTAAATGGGTACACATGTGAGTGCAGGGTATGCTGCGGGCAGTGTCTGCGGTGCCTGCCGTGCGTGGTGGGTGGAATGCTGGGTTCCAGGTGTGCTGGAGTGCCGTGGGGGAGGGGCAGTGGACTGCGCATCACAATCGTGTAAGTTTTGCTCCTTGTGATAGGCGTGAGCTCGTGCACCTGTGTCGGGCTAGAGTATGCTGTGATGTCTACGGGCACACGCATTGTGACAGCAGCGAGCGTTTATGCTGCCAGTGAGCGTTCGTGTGGTGGTGGTGAGAAGTCTGAGTGTGTGTGCTGTCACCCGCTATGACATTGTGTCGTAGAGAACTGAGATGCTGAGGAGTGTCTTGCGCTGTTTTGACGTTTGTGGTGAACTGTGATGTGTGAGGGGGTATGTGTGGTAACAGGTGCCTGTGTGCAGCACTGAGGGGTTTGTGTGCTTCATGGCACGTGCCTGGTGTGGTGTGTCTGGTGCATTGTGTGTGTGTTATCACACATGCAGTGGATGGCGTGCTGGATGAAGGGTGGTGCTGCGGGGTTGTGCTGTGTGGTTGTGTATCTGGCATGTTCTCTTGTGTACTGAGTGGTGTGTCGTGTGAACGGGAGCACACGACAGGAGGGTGGGGTGGGATGGGATGGGGTGTGCTCTGTGTGTGTGTGGACACATCTACAGGAGACACGCTCACTCGGGGCCAGGCAGGGGGCGTGCAGGGAACAGGCATCTCACGGGAGCCAACAAGAACGTGCCAGTCTGGCAGGGCCCGCTGGGCCACCCTCCTTCCAGATACCCTGGCAGGAATCCTGCCTGCCAAGGCCAGCGCCTCCCCCTCCCCCAGCACAGAGCAGCCCTGAATGAGGCAACAACCAGCCCCAGCCCAGGGAGGGGCCTGGCATCCAGATGGGGCAATGCCGGCTGGTGCTGCCCCCTACACTCTCTTCTCTGCCTCCCAGAGGGGCCAACACAGGAGGGAGGCCCAAGGAGAGGGGCTGGATCCTACACCCCAGGCCCCAGGGGCCCTCCACCTCATACAGCAGGGCAGGACTCACCAGCTGGAGGATGTCCTCGTCCTTGGACATGATGGAGAGCTCCAGGATATCATCGCTACAGAGACAGGGCAGGGGGTCAGGCCAGGCTGAGGCAACAGGGTCTGGGAGAACAGGGAGCCTGGTCGCCAGGGCAGCCCCAGGACCAAGGGGGTGGGGTGTGCAGGGATTCAGTGAGCAGGCTGGGAGCTGTTATGGGAGAAGGGAGGCAGGGGATGCTCACCTATTCTGGATCAGAGCTATGACCTGGGAGTAGGTCTTCCCAATGACGCTCTCCCCATTCACCTTCACCAGCCGGTCTCCTGGGGACAAGGGTCAGGGCCACGTGTGAGCAGGCCAAGGGGTGTCAATGGCCCCACCTAAGAACCCCTGTACCAGGTATGGACGACAGCAGAGGAGCAGGAGCCTCCCCAACACTCGGGTCCAAGAATCCCATCCTAACCAGAGGGTAGGGAGAAGAGACTCAGAGAGGTGCGATGAACCAGGTAACTGGGACAGCTCACCTGTGCGAAGCCCCGCCCTATGGGCAGGGCCATCATCCTTCACATTCTTCACAAAGATGGTATCCATGGGCTCCAAGCGGTGCCGGGGGGAGGGTCCTGGTGAGCATCAGCCAGGTTAGCTGGGGGTGGCTGCTGAAGGTCACACCCACGCACAGCTACACACACAGAGGACACACACTCAGAGAATGACTGCACTCACACGGACACAAACACAGACCCACACATCCACAGGGACGTGATGCACAGGATCAGACAAGAGGACACACTCCTGTGGACAAAAACCTACACGGACACACAGTCGCTCCTTAAAGGCCTCTTGCATCCAGCACCGTGCTAGAAAGACTAAAAAGGTTGGATAGACATGGTCCTTGCCCTTCCAGAGCTCACTGTCTAGTGGGGCAGACATGTGCGCGTGCTCAGACACAGACACACGCATACACACACACACACACACACACACACACACACACACGAGTCACAAGACAAAGGAAAGGGTGCCATACAAGAGGCCAGTATCAAGTCCTGAAGACACATGGCAGGGAGAGACAGCCACACACACAGAGAATGTCCACACCCACAGACCGGGAGAGCCACAGAGAGGCGCTGAAGCTCACAGGCACCCAACGCCCACAACAGCCACCTCACTCCCTTCCCCAGGGTCGGGGGATCTCCGAGCAGAGGTCTGAGGATCCCAGGATGGACAACCACCCCCTGATGACATCACGTTATAACCCAGCAATACTCCTCGCTGCTAACAGTCTCCATCAGGGAAATGGCCTGTTATAGGTCAGATGGCTCCTCCCGTACCACAGGCCTCTGCAACGGGGACTCAGGAAGACAGTGTCCCCGTGGCTGCCCAGTAGAAGCCCCAGTGGCAGAGAAGGAAGGCTGTTGGTTCAAGGAGTTCTGCCTTGAAAACCCTGGGGAGCCTGGGTGCCAGAAGGGGCCCTTTGGGATAGCAAGGGTGACAGCCAGGGGAGTTGGGTTCACATTTGAAAAGAGAAAGACCTCAAGGTCCCCCATACGCCCAACAGAACCCCAGTGTCTCTATCCCCAAGGACAGCCCATGATCAGCTACACCCTCCCACAAGCCCCCAGCCTGCACCTCATCTAGGCTGGGAGTAACTCCAGGGCAGGGGCCAGGTCTTAGAAACCCATTGCTCCCCAGAGCACCACCCCCAGTGTGGAATAGACAGGCCCAAAGGGAGATAAATGTGAGAAAAGAAAGGGAGGAGAGAGAGAGGGAGCAGATGTCCAGAGTGGACACAGAGAAGAGCCAGGATGGGAACAGCAGTCGAGGGTGGGGGCACAGCAAAATCCAGGCCCACTTGGGGGAGGGGGAGAAACAGAAGCTGGAGGATGAGTCCCGCTCAGCCCCAGTCCCTAGTGTCCACCCCCACCACTCCTTACCTCCTCCTCGGCCTCCATTCTCTTCCTCCTGCATGGGATAGAGAGGCGGGTGTGGGCCACCTGGGCGGGCCCCTTCAAGCTCCGCACCCAGCAGCCTCCTCTCTTATCTTCCTTCAACTAGCCCAGCCCGGAGGGGGCAGGAGGGGTGTCGACAGGGACTTCAAGTCCCAGGCAACGTTCCCTGGTAGCATGAGCCCTCTCTCATGCCTGCTGATCCCATTGTCTGAGAGCCCCCAATCCAAGGGGGGACCCATGACTCCATCCCTTGGGGAGCTCGAAGCCCGACGGAGGAGATACCAAACACACCAACCCACGGAGGGGACCCAGGCAGACACAGATAAGCAGCATGACAACTGCAAACAGTGGCTATCAGCTCTTAAGAGAATAGGAAGGGAAGGCCTGATTAGTGTCCCCCTGGGGGAGGGGATTTTAAAGCAAGTTTCAGGATGGCTAGGAGAAGGCATTCTCGGTGAGGGGATGGAGTGCGCAGGCGCCTGGTGGCAGAAAAAGGCAAGCATATCTAGGACTGGATCAGTTGAGCTGAAGGAGAAAGTCAACACCAGCAAGTGACAGAAGTCAGACTAAAGCTTTCAGGTTTGAAAAGGAAGAAAGAGGGAGCCACTGAAGGTTTCTGAGTGGGAGAGAGTGGATGTGAAAACACCAACGAGGGAAGAGGATTCTAGCCTCTAGGTGCAGGGCTCAGAAATGGAGTCGAGGAGACCCAGTAAGGAGGCCTCCGGGATCATCCTGGTGAGTGAAGGGGGAAGGGCACTAGATTTGGGAGGAAATAGAAACGAAGGAAAGGAGAAGGTCAGAGAGACAGGATGGGCCAGCAGGATATGGCATTTTAGAGCTGGATCGGACCTTTGGCGTCATCTTGTCTAACCCTCTCCACAGATCATCCGTTTACAGGTGACAGGGCATGACTTGTCCAGGGCCACTCAGAGACTCAGTAGCAGAGCCAGGGCTGGAACTCAGGACTCTGGCACCCTGGCCAGCACAGGAAGGCCGCTGGGCACTGCTGGAGAGCAGTCCCTTTGCCCTGCTCTCCCATGTGGGGTGCATGCCCGCTGATGTGAGCTGACAGTGCGGCGAGCGGGTGGCAGAGGCAGACAGATGCATTTAGAGATGCATTTAGAAGGCTGAGCTGCCTGAAGGCTCCCTGCCCTGGGCAGGTTCTGGAAAGGGGATGGGACCTGTCCCTGGTTGGCCCTACCCTGGGGTCTTCCAGTGCCCCACGTGAGCGAGGTCTCTCTGAGACAGGTCCACCACCCAGCCTAGACCACTCAGGATGATTCTGCCCCGGTCAACCCTCAGCAGGGTCCCCTGAGAGAAGGTGGCAGGGGCTGGGAAGGAGGGGCATTCTAGGGAAGGAGGGAAGGAAGAGGTTCCAGGGAACGAGGGGCTGGTGTCCTTGGGCATCAGGGGTGGGGCAGCGCCCCTCCCACACACCATCAGCCCGATGCACACTCCTAAGCACAGCTGCAGCCAATGAGGATAGTTTATGCAGGCGCCCCAGATTCAGACATGGACACGAGAGGTGCACAGTGGCACGTGCACATGACGTGTATTTAGACACCTATATGCACACGTCTAGATATATATGACCAGCATACTACGCCCGCACATGTGCACACAAAGAGAGGAGTGCAAGCACCCGGACACAGGCACTGAAACCCAATGCCTTGGTTCTCTGGCAGGTAGGACCAAGCTCCGCAAGAGAGAGTCTCCCAACAGCTGTGCAGCCTAGTCCCAGCCCTGGGGGAAGGGGAGAAACGGGTTCATGGACTCCAAAATATATTTGTCTCCTCCCCTGCTGGGAGAGAGGTGGGGGAAGGGGAGAAACGGGTTCATGGACTCCAAAATATATTTGTCTCCTCCCCTGCTGGGAGAGAGGTGGGGGAAGGGGAGAAACGGGTTCATGGACTCCAAAATATATTTGTCTCCTCCCCTGCTGGGAGAGAGGTGGGGGAAGGGGGCAGGGCCCTCCTGGTTCCTGCCCAGGGTCCCCTCACTTCTTCCTGCATGCCTGCTTCACTGTCAGGGACCCCCTCCCCCCAGCCCACACTGTGGGTTGAGCTGAGCAGCCCTGGTGCCTGCACCCAGAGAACTTTGACATTTATATTAGGGCTGGAAGGGCCCTTGAGGGTCAAGTAGATAAATGCCCTCAGGTTACAGCAGGAGAAATGGAGCCCAGAGAGGGGAGAGACCACCCCAAGATCCACAGTGAGCTAGGAGTTGTCCCAGCACTAGAACCCAGGTCTTCTTCATCCTGGCCCACGGCTCTTTCCAATGGGCCTGGGGCACACTGGGAGGGGTCCCAGAGGCGTTAGGATGGACTCCTTGAGAGCTCAGGCTGCGGACCAGGCAGCAAACTCAGCTCAGAAGCGGCCAGTGGACAAGGGGTCCCAGGAACTCCATCTCTCTGAGAAGGCTGTTCGCCTTCCAGAAGCCAAGAGTCTGGGGGTATAGGTGAGCATCCTGGCTCCCCCACCTCTACATTCCTTGTCCTGAACCAGCCACCTGGTGCCCTTCTCCTGAGAAGACCAAGCCCAGAGCAGTTAGGGGGCTTGTCCACGATCACACAACACAAATGACCCGGCCAGGGCTGCCCTTGCCTCTGTGACCTCCTCCCCAGGCCACAGAAGAAGGACCGTGGAGGTGACAGCGCAAAGGACTCTCCCCTCCCCCCATTCACGCTTCCTCAGGACAGGACAGGGCAGTGGTGAGGTGGGCGTACCTTCAGGCTGCAGTGCACAGCTGACTCGGGTGGGTACACAATGAAGTGGCGCAGGGTGAAGCCAAAGCCATCCTGGAGACTCTTGTGCAGCAGCAGCGTCCTCGGTCCCTGCCAGGGGAGGGGGCGCCCGGGAGAGCACCCATCTCTCGGGCCCAGGGGCAGCTGCAGGAGCACAGAGAGACGGGGTTGAGTGGCCATGTGGCCACACTCCCGAGTCTGCACAGTGCCTCCGGCAGCCCAGAGAACCCGAGGGGGACTGGAATGGTCCTGGAGTCCACGCGTCCCGGGGCTCCAGGCACCCTCCTCTGCCCCTGACCGCCTCCTCACCCCTTCCTTCTTCTCCCGCCCTCATCAGCCTGAAAGCTTCTTCCTTCCTTCTTTCCCCTCAATCACACACAGACACATGCACACAGCGCACACCACAGACAGACAGACACACACATGCACAGACAGACTGGCACACACAAGCATCCTTCAGGAGCAGCAGGAACAAGTGGGGGACTAAGAGCCACGAGGGAGCAGACTGGACATCAGACAACTGAAGGGACTTCCTGAGGCTCAGAGCCCAGACCAGAGGCCTGGCTGCTTCACGGGAACTGAGTGGGGATCCGGGTGGGTGTGGGGGAGACACTCTGCTGCCCACTGGCCGACCTGCTGGAATACTTGGGATTCCCCAGGATGACACGGCAGAGGGTGTCTGAAGACAAGGGTTTGGGGGCACACAGGTCTGTTTCTGGGGCAACAGGAAGAAGAAGATGGACAGTGCCTGAGAGAGGGCTCCCTTCAGGTCCCCTGATCAGACACAGAGGGAAAGTGGGTGACAGGAGGGTGTCAAAGAGATGTGTGCACAGGGAGGCAGATGGCAGACTGGAGAAGATGGGAGCCGAGGGCAGGCTGCCTAGTGAAAAGCCTCGAGGCCGCCCCTTGGGGTTCTTCAACCCCCACCCAACCTCACACAGCCTAACCTATCTGTTGCCCCTAATCCAAACCCCTCAGAGGGCAAGAAGCCCCCCTACCCGACCCTCGACAGTCCTCAACACCCTCACTCCTCCTTGGCACCAGGCAGGAGCCTTCAGCTGCAGGAAGAAAGGTGGGGCTGGGTGCAGAGGGAGGAGGCCCACCAGTTCTGGGGTGAGGAGCTCCCGCTTCACTATTAAGGCTCCCTTTCCCCCCCGTCTAACAGCTGGAGAAAGCTCCAATTTGCCACTCAAAGGTCCTGATACTAGGAAGTCCCTTCATGTATCCATCCACCCTCCTGCTCACATGTCCAGTGGAAGGGAGCTGGCCCCGTGCCCAGCCCTGTGCTAGGGACTTCTGCATGGGATGTGAGTCTTGGGGGAGGGCATGTATCCTCAAATCTCAGAAGATTAAAGAAAAATGTGACAGAGGCAATAGGCGTGCTTCATACAGTCCCAGAGGACACAGCCAGTGGACGATACAAGGCAGCTGAGCGAAGCTCCGGGCCAGGGAGACCATTCTAATCAATGTATCTGGAAAACTACCCAGATGAGGTTGTGAGCTCTCTGTCCTTGCAAGGGTCTCAGCAAAAGCTGAATAACCCCCAGTCCAGGAAGCTTTAGCTGGGGTTGCACTTCAGGCTGGAGGACAAGTGATGGCCCCTCAGCTCCTTCCACTTGTGGCTTTAGCCTGGACTTTCCCACTGAACCCCACACCCCTGTGGGGGTCTGATGAGCCCAGAAGGGAAAATTCTCTGGGAATTCTGCTGAGGTCTGAAATCCCCTGGATTTCCTATTTCTGCTGACCTGGCAAGGAACTGATCAGGGAGAGAAGAGGGCCTCAGGGGACCCTCCACTGCCCCCTCTTACAGAAGCCCTTGCTCCTCCCCAGTGCGGGCTGCCTCCCCTGCATGCCCTCCACTGGGGCTCAGAGCTGAGGCTGTTTGCAGGGCCCATTGTTTTGCTGGTGTCCTGGATTAAGGTTTAAGCCACCAGCTGCCCCAGTGATGAGAAGTGGCTGGGACAGGTCCCCGCATGCCCCCCACCCCACCCCTCCTCCAGAGCACATCCTGCCTGGAGCTGCCAGCTGCCTGGGGGTGCCACTCCCTGGGGGCCTGCCTCTAATCCAGGGCAGTGGGCATGCCATCTCTCAGGCTCCCTCCTCATCCAGGCACCAATGCATCCTCCTCTCTTATCCCTGCCTCTGCCTTTCCTCTTTTCCTCCCTTCCAGTCTCCCTTCCCCCACCCCTTCCAACTAGGCTCCTGAGAACGGCAGTGTGGCAAAACGCCTGCCACAGCTACCACGCCTGAAGAGGAGACACCACAGCCCCCATCAACGGCCAGATCTGGCAACTCCCCTGTGGGAATTTCTTCCTTCGGTTTAACCTCAATCCTTCACGCTATTATACATGCACGTCCCCTCTTTTCCCCTTCAACCTGGGACAACACTGGGTCTTTGCTCTCATCTTGAGGGGGAGGGAGGTGACAGACACAGAAACAGAGGAGGAGCCAGCAATGAGGATCAGAAAGGTGATTAGACTGGGAAGGGGTACAGCTCACACACATCCCCAACTCTGTTCTCCGAGGTAGGCACAGAAACAAGGGGATGGAAAGGGAGAGGCTCTGGGGACACAGAGACATCACTGATTAACACCCTCGTGGCCCAGATCTATTTCCAAACGCTCCCATCCTCATGTTAGAAAAAAAAGAGACATCCAGAAATACCAACTGATGGTGGAGAAGGGCAGATGGCCCCAGGGCCACAAATTAGACAGAATAGACACGAGGTGGGTTGGCGACACAGGAACTAGAACCCAGGAGTTCTGCTCCTCCCCCAGGAGCATAAAGAGGTCATTGCAGGGAGCACAGCGTTCATGCTGGGCATGGTGCCCACTGTGACTCACACCCTACCAGCCCGGCCGATCCCGGACATCAGAAACACTGTCCCCAACCCCCCTCTCCAGCCCTGTCAGTCCTCACCCTGAGATCCCTCACTACCTGCTGGGGCCCATTCCGCCACCTCAGCCTCCTTTGCCCACCAGAAAACCTTTGTGTGCCCCTGAAGCCAGGTTCCCTACCAGGGGGAGGACAGGGTGGTGCTCACGGCTCCATTTAGTGGTACCCCTGCCTGCCTCTGGCTCAGGGACCCTGCCAGCCCAAACTCCCCAGGATCCTAGATGCCCCAGCATTTCTTCAAACAACCTGGTCCCCTCCATCCTTCTACTGCCTGTAAACCTAGAGGCTTGAACCCACTGGAGGCCACCACCCAGACTGGGGGTCGTCATCCAGGACCCCTGGAAAAGCGCTCAGCCCCAATCCTGCCACCGTCACCCGCATCTCTCCAGCTCCTCACTCCTCACTCACTCCCTACTCCGGGGCATCCGTCCCGGATGCAGGGCGCACTCAGCTCAAAGATCGCAAGGAGTTAGTGGCCCAGTCCCACCCACGCCGGACGAGGCCTGCCCGGGCTTCTGCCCCGGCCCCCGGCCCCG